TTCATTACTCGTTATTTCTTTTTCTAAATGATAAAAAAAATGATTTCAAAATAATTAAGTTTAAGTTTCATTATTTTTTCTACCTGATAAAGATTTTTTTTTTATATTTCCAATGCCTACTTGTGTTAGCATTTCGTCAATTCAGGCATTTACAGGGCAGATTTTTTGGTCACTCTTTCAGGGCTACCCTAAGAGGTGGGTCAACGTTGCTCCCACAGTAGGAACAGAAAGTACAGAGAATGAAGGGACATCCGTGCCTTGCTCGGGATTCGAACCCAGAACCTTTCTCAAACAAGGCCAGTTCCTTTATCCCTAAACAATTTTGTAGGCCTTAATAAAGATTATTGGTCATTAAAAATGAGTTGATGCAGCTAAACAAGAAAAAAAAAGGAACATAAAGGTAATAAGAATTGTAAGTCCGCAAGATACGGTTTCTGGTAGATCACCGATGACAGGTGAGTGAGCAGGTGGGTGACCACTTTGATCAACCTGCAAAGGGATGGCGGTGTAGGTCTTCCTTAAACTATTCTAGGTGGTCTGTTTTTAAAGTAAGGACAGTTTTGTTGTGTACACTAATATGTGACGCTTTCGTCGCAATGAATGCTTGCGTAGCGTCCTGGCATTCCTTGAGAACAACTGTGCTTAGTTACAGCTGTGTAGGCAACCTATGTGGTCAGTTCTGTGTCTTTAACGTGTTCAAGTTTAACAAATCATATGAAGTATGGTTATTGATGCATTCTTAGTCTGCAAAACACCTGTCAGCTGCATACATTCACTGACAGCAACAAAACTCCTTCTCATTGTGACGGGAAATTTTGCAACTCTATGACAATGACTCTCTTCACAGCGCAGTCCCGAGTTTTTGGATGGGAAGTTTTGGAGCACTCCTCAATATAACCCAGACCTTGAGCTAAGTGATTTTTTTTTATATTTTCCGATGTTTCAAAGATCATTCTGGTGGCAACGAAGACGAAGAAGTGAAAAAAGTCGTGACAGTCGGAGCAGGCGTTAGTTAATATGAAGAGGGTGTTCTAAATCTAGTTGTAAGGTATGATAAGTGTTTAACCAAACTTAGCAACGATTTAAAAAAAAACAGAAAAAAAAACGAGAAACGTATGTTGAATCAAAAAATAATTTTTCTTCATGAAAATTTTCTTCGGTTTTTTTTTTAAACGATCCTTACTTAAAAAACAGCCTTAGTACCATGAAGTGATCGACTTCGTGCACAGGTTGATGGGCTACCATTTTCTCTGCCGAGGATAAAAATTGTAATGGAAAGTGTGCAGATTGTTCTCAGGGATGTTCCTCAGAAAGTCGCCAATAGAGATATGCAGTTCTAGTGCAATGTAAAATAAAGTACAACTACTTAAATTAAAACCGTCAACCCCTCAGCAGAGGATCAAAAATAGCGATGGTATGTCTTCGGATCATCGTCAGGGATGTTTTGCAGACCGTCGCCAATAGCCCATTGTACAGCTCTAGTGTGACGATCAAAAATGTTTTCAAATTATAAACATAATTCAAAAGTAGCAAAATCTTTCTTTAAACATGCTAAAATTCTGTTTTTCCAAAGCTAAAAATATTTACTCTTTTTGTCAGAGTTTTTACAGGGATTTTTCAGAGCACAGAGTTTCACACAAATATTTTATGTTTTCTCATTGTTCATCTATAGTATTCATTCCTTTATAGCGGCTCCTCGAACAGTGGTCCTCATTCAGAAAATTGTCAGAGGAAGAGCAACATCTCTTCTTTCCGAAGGAGTCGTTTTCCAGACTGAACTAATGAACTTGTTTCCAGTCACTCCACATTATTTTATTTTATTTTACGACGACTACTAACGTACAACTCCATAGCTTTGTAATTTTGAAAATTGCGGAACTCGTGTATCAAACATTGGGAGAAATTTTACCTTCGTAGGGGACGTTTTGATGGAACCAACTGGCATTTGCGTTACATGGAGAGGAAAACCACGAAATCCTCCCAACCTGACGGAAAGGGGACCCGTGATTTATCTACCACTGAGGATATTTTATGTCAGCACTGTAGTCAGTGCAAGCCAGGTGTGGAATTTGTATCAAGCAGTCATCGCTGAGATTCGAACTCTTTTCATCTCATTATCTATCCCCCTGAGCTATATCATTAGCCTACAGAAGTACGTATTTCTGCTATTCAAAACAGAGAAAAGTTATCAGAGTACCTTGTTTTTTCATCAGCGGGAGCTACATCATCAGTGGACGCTATACCGCGGGAAAAATCCTTTATCACAAATTCTCTTTCACCTACATAAGTAATTAGAAATGTAGACAAAGTGAGTTCAAGCAAACTCAAAGCAAACCATAAAATTTCAAATACGGCAAAAGTTTTTCTTTCCAAAATAAAAGTTTTTTTTTAAGTTTTTTTATTTATTTTTTTTTTATTATTTTTTTTTGAAAATGGAAATAAATTACTACAGGATGAAAAAGGATTACGGAGTGAAGAAGTAATCCTACCGTAATTCATTTGAATTTTGATATTTAAACAACCTTTTTTTCTGCATATGAAACTTCATCGTTCTCACTAAGTTTGATTGCTGGAATTTTGCTGCAAGAATTTTGAGTTGGGTAAGCCAACTCAAAATTCTTGATGATAACATCAAAATATTTTGATGGTTTATGCTGGTTTCAGAGTGATTCATGATGGTCCAACATCATTTGGTGGTCACCATCATCCAATATTTTCCATTATGTGTTCATGATTTTTTTATATGCAAACAAACTTCTATCATTCCATGATGGAAAATGTTACTTTAATACTATGATGGTTAACCATCAAAGAGAAGTTTGACTCTTATGAACAAACAATTCATGATGATCCATGATGGTTCCAACTATACATTTCCATGGTGGTTTAATGAGAATTCTTGTTGATTCTCAGTAACACACTATTCAAACAATCCGGTTTTTTTTATGTTGGACCGTTATAAATCAGTCCGAATTCCTACATTGAGATGATGGTTACTATGTTAGTTACCATCAGAAAATATAATGGTTAATAATGGAATTATTGAAGGTTATCACCAAGATTACGTAAGTCCATCAATGAAAAACCATAAAAAATTTGACTCGGGTACTTTTCCCCAAAACTTTTAAATGCCAGTTTAAGTGATTTTGAAATGAAAAGTTTCGTCCTCGGTATAGAGTTCTCTTCAATGAGTTCTGAACCTTTTACAACAAAACTCATATAATCACTCCACCAGGATATATTTTATGTCAATATATCATCACTCTTCATACTGACATAAAATATAATCTGACCATTATTCAAGGACAAGCTTTCATATCCTATTTTTAAAATGTTTCTTTTCTGCATCTAATTTCATAATATCCTATTTTAAGTTTACAGGTATTAAATCTAATTCAGTTACTAAGAACTGTAATTACATCATAAAGCATAAATAGTCAAATATTTCTTTATATTGCGAATATTTTCACACGTTTGACAGTCACAAAAATGTTTTTGATCAAACTTTTTGTTTTTCAATTTATATTTCGATGATTTCAAATTTATGTAAAAAAAAATAATTTTTGCTAATTGATTGACTGATGTGTTATTCAGTTCAATGAAATTTTATAGCTTCGACGTTTTATACGCTGTAATTATGCTAAAATCCACCTTATCATGAAATTTTAATCGACAATGTAAATTGATCCTCTCGCTAGTGTGACTTCACTTTTCCGTGATTCTGTACGCCTCTGTCATTATTAGTTTTATAACTCTCATTTATAACTCGTTATAGCATTTAGTTCTGTAAAAAATTATCTTTCTTTTACATCCCATTTATGTGTCCATTCTCATGAATACGCATTTTTAGCTGCGTCCATTCTCTTAAACATGCAATCTGAACTGTGTCCAGTAAAAAAATTCCATCGACAAGAAATTCTTTTTGCTTATTTTTTAAATCCAATTGGTGATTACGTGAAAACCTTAAAATAATTTTTTCGCATAATGTAGTTTTGCAGGACATTAGAAAACAATAAAAAAAAGTATTTTGTTACATTATTTGCTTTTCCTTGAATGAAGTTTTTTGCATACGATTTTTTTAATATTTTTTCACAAAATGTTTATATTTGCATTATTTCGTCCCCTTGAAAAATCTTTTCACTTTGTATTTCTGTTTACCTCATCATGTCAACTATAGTAAAAAGGTTTACCATTTGCCCTTTTTTCGCCTAAGTGACAATTCTTTTTAATTGTTGTTGTTGTCAATTTACGTCGCACTAGAGCTGCACAATGGGCTATTGGCGACGGTCTGGGAAACATCCCTGAGGATGATCCGAAGACATGCCATCACAATTTTGATCCTCTGCGGAGGGGATGGCACTCCCACTTCGGTAGCCCGACAACCTGCGCGAAGTCGAGCACTTTACGGTAGCACAGTTTAACGAGGACCAATACCGCACACCCTCGGCCCTTCGTAGACTGATCCAAGTGGTCACCCACCCGCACACTGACCGTAGCCAGTGATGCTTGACTTCGGTGATCTGCTGGGAACCGTGTCTTAACGATCAGTCCACTGCGGGACTCAATACTTTTTAAAAAGGCTTTAAAAGTAATCTTTAATTCTTTTTGGATGAAGGGTTTGAAATTTCAACATTTTTGCTCTATTGAAATAACGGTTTTAGTGTAAACATTTTCGCGACACTGTAAAAAGAAACTTCTGACACAAGGTTGCTGTGAGGTTACATGATTTCTGGGTTCTAATCTTTTCAAGATTTATCTAATATTAGAAGTAACATATTTATAAAAAGTTAATAAAAACTTTCACACTTTCCAAAAAATAGCATAAAATGAATCGTAGAACAATGCTTATGTATATTTCTGCATTCATTATAAAAAAATAATTAAATCATGAATAGCACATTGCGTCAACATTTTTAAGGTTCTGAAAAACTGAAAAATTCAGAATTTGGGTGAATGTGAAAACTACTATTTTGAGTAATGTAATTTGTAACTGAAGACTATTATTTTATGAAGAACATTTTATTATCAAGAATCTTTACAAACATTGCAAATCAGCTAACATAGTACGCGTGCACAGAATATGCCGATTTGTAACAACTTTATACAGGGTATATGTACAAACACACCTAGTGTACTTATTTGTTTATCTTAGGTTCAAAAGTTTTTATAATTCTTGATATTTAAACATGCGAAACTGTTCGTTAATAGACACTTTATTCTTCAATTGAATTTTCCAATGGTCTATTTTTGTGCTAAAATAAAAATCCAATCAAGATGAACAAAGCTTTTAAACAAACTTTCGAGATCGAATTTAGGATTTGGTTTTTAAGATGCCATTCACACAGTAGTAACAATAATGGAGTTAGTGGAAGAGAAAACAATACCAGTAATATAACAATTCCAGTTATATTACTGGTATTGTTTTCTTACCAGTTAACGAAAACAAGACCTGTTAATGTAAATGACAAAGGCAAGTAAAACAGCCAGAAATGAAGCGTCTGCGATGTTCACTTTTACTGAAAAGATCGTGAAATAAAAATTTATTAGAAAGCATCAAAAATGCAGGGGAAAAATTTAGATTCGATTTTTCATTAATATCTGTTTTTCATCATATGCTATGCCAGTAGTTTAATATTTATATTTATCACCATCGTTGAACAGTCGAACCAATTTTGGGTTCACGACAAATCATGTTCAACTTCGAAGTCCTGTAATTTTAAACCAGATGCAGAAGACAAGGGAACTCCTGGATCAAGGATTGGGAGAAATTTAATTTCGGGGAGGACTTTTCGATGGAACTAACCAGCATTTGCGTCCACTTCTTCTGAAAAGATCTTGAAATAAAATATTGTTAGAAAGTATTAAAAATGCAGGGGAAAAATCTAGATTTGATTGTTCAACAATATTTATTCTTCATGATAGCAAGGTGGTCTGCCAATAGTTGAACGAAAAAAGCTTAAAATTGCTTTTAAAGTGGCGGCTTAGACTTTAAATTCATGAATGTCTCCACTCGTGACATAAGCTTCAGTCGTCATCTTGAATTTATTGAAGGGGTTCAAATAAGAGATTGGATAAGTGAGAAGGATTTTAAATGTATTATTTTGATACTGTAAGAATACGATGAAAAACAGTTAATTGGTCTGATAGATAATAAGTAATAAAGACTTTAAATATAAAAAGAACAATTTTTAATTGATACATGCTTAGTTGTCTGGGGAATTGCTATCTGGGAAATGTTGTGTAATTTTAGCATCGCGCAGATTTAAATGAAATTGAAATTAAGCTTATAGGAGCAATAGCTCCGAAATTATGAGAGTTTTATAAGTAAAAAGACAAATAAAAAATATGATTCATAAAGTCCTCATTGTTTCTAAATAAATGGTTCTTTTAGCTTCAGTATAACTTTATTTAATTCAGAGTATAAATAAATAAGAAACAATGTATAGTTTGCTTGGATAACATTTCAGGCAAATAATTGGGTAAAGGTAAAAGAAATTTTAATTTATACATAAAAACCCGCTAAACTTCTAAAATACTATTCTTGCTCATTTCGGTTTGATTCACCGGAAACAAAATTAGACGGAAACGGTTAGTTATTTGTCTAGATAGCAAAGAATGTTTACATTTTTGCTGTTTTTAAAATAAAACTCTCGTAGTATCAAAATTATTAGATTTTGGCTTGATTTCATAGGATTAAGGAGAAACAAAATCATTCAAAAATAGAAAATTATTTTTGACAACAGCGAACTGTATATTTTGCTGTGTGGGGAATTCTAGACGGCATTCATTCCCAAAAATTAGCATTTACACGCGGTTTTAGTAATAACTTCCTGAATAACATATTTGAGGAAAATTCCATCTATCAAAGGCATTTGATTGGAAATTTATACAGATTATAATAAAAGCGAGCAAAAGAAACTTTTAATTATTTTCATCAAGACAAGCTATCTCCTAATATGCAACATATTCTGTTAACATGCTTTGATTTTTTTTAGTTTCTTTTTGTTATTTCGCCTGTTATCAAAAAAATAACAACGTTTAAAAACTTAAGAAGCAAAACATTGGAAAAAAAACTGAGCTATTTTTTTCTGCGAAATAATACAAAGTATCCGTATTAAACTTTATTAAGGATCTTGAACCATTCAATGCAACAGAGCAGTAACTATGCACAGTCATTTACCATACTGGTGTAAAATTAGAATTCATTTTTCGTGGCTTATTAAAAAAAAGAAATACATTAAAATAATTTTAAGGATGCTTTGTCCAGTAAAACACCTAAAGATTATAATGGTGAGCCTCATTTCAAAAATATTTTTTAAGCAATGCAGCAATAACAATTGACAGTGACCCCTTTAAAAAGTTATTTAACTGCTTATGGTACAAAACAAATTAAACGTTAGTATGAATTTTTATCAATTTCATTATCTCAATATTGCGTACATGTAACATGTAATATAATGACTTGCAGTATTGTATTAAGAATATCATAAAATATAATATTATAACGTAATATTTTGTAATATTACAATAAAAATGATTTGCATGAATGTAATATTGCAAGTCATTTAGTTTTAATTACCTTTCTATTTAACAAAAGTAAATCCTATCTCTCTGTAGAGTAACAAAAAAAAAGTCTTATAAGGTCGGATCGTAATATGAAGAACTATATACATACATTCTTAATACAAGTATTCAAAAACAAACAGAAATTACCTATAGAAATATTAAAAGTTGCTATAATAAAAGTTCTTTTATTTTTAGCCGTTTTTAGTGTATTTCTCCCTATGGTAAGTGGGATGATTTGCAGTCTTTTATGATATGATATAAAAATGGCTAAAACATAAAATTCAAGCCAAAATTCTTGATGGTCCCATCGAAAAATTAATTTTAATAGTTTATGTAGGTTTCAGTGCCATTTCTGATGATCCAACATCATTTGATGGTCACCATCATTCAGCATTTTCCATTGCGTGTTCATGGTTTTTGATATGACAACAAACCTCCATCATTCCATGATAGAAAATGCTACTTTAATAATATGATGGTTAACCATCGAGAGAAGTTTGACTTTCATGAACCAACAATCCGTGATGATTCCAACTAGACATAATCATGATGGTTTTGGTTCTCAAAAATATACCATCAAAACAAGTAGTGTTTTTTTATGTTGGAAAATCATGAAGCAGTCCGAATTTCTACATTGAGGAGATGGTTACTTATGTTGGTTCCCATCAAAAAATATAATGGTTCATGATGGATGGTTGCCATTCAATCCAGATTATGTTGGTACATCAACGGAAAACCATCAAAAATTTTGATTTGGATTATAAGTTAATATTATCTCAGCTAAATTTTAAATGATTTTTAATTTACAACAGCAATAAACGAATATCACTACACTTCAATGTCATTCCGTTTCCGGAATGAATGTGTCCCACAATGCAGCGCGTTCTCAATGGCAGTTCTAAGTTATTTAAAGCACATCTTGTGATGATAATCGAGCACACAAACTTTAAGGCTTTATCACAACAATTTTACACGTTGAAGTCACACGTTCTTTACCCTATACTCAGTATGGTTTCTACATTCAAAACGACTCGAGCCTGACTTAAAACACACATGGCTTTGGGATATCCTTCTACAATGGACAGGGAGAAAAGGACTGACAAATAAGGAAGGTAGAACTCAAATACCAGAAGACATTTTTCCACGCACCATTTTTGTGACTCTCTTACACACTATCTTAAGCACAAACCGTGTTTCTGCCTTCCTACATTCTAAACGGCGTGATTCGAGGGGATACATCACATGGCCGAGAGAGATTCGTAAAAGCGGATAAGGATTAATAGATTTACGTCCAATTAGAATGTAAGAGGCACTATCTTTCTACTTATTTTCATGCCATTTTAATGAACAATAAGACTGCTCCGCGCATGACGATAAGAATCATCTGGCATTTTCGAGAAACTATCATTCTGAGTGCAATTTAGGATGTTTTCAATTTGTTTTCGTGATATTTCAATGGTCCGTAGCATTACACCACACGTGTAAATAAAATTCTTGCACATTATTTGTCCAAAAGTATCCGGACACTCGGTTATGGTGATGGAAGTAGAATGGTGTTGGGAGGGGGTGTTTCTCGTGGTTTGGCTTAAGTTAGTTAGTTCCTTGTGGTTGGACACATGAACTCTAAGATGTATGTGGAGAGTGCTGCTCTATGGCAATATATCGGCACATTTCTCTTCCATCATTCACACATAAAGGGTTGCACAGACGTGCTTTGATGAAATGGGTGTTCAAAAACTGTCCTTCTCAGAGCCCCTATTACATATAACACCTTTGGGAGGAATTAGAGCACAAATCCTCACTGCATACACAGCTGTGATGAGAGTCCTATCAAAAACTATTGTAGAGTCTTCCCAGAAGGCAGTCATCGATGCAAATGGGGGTCACCAACATCCTGTGACTCAGGGCGCTCTAAGGTCCCGCAGTGGATTGATCGTTAAGACACGGTTCCCAGCAGATCACTGAAGTCAAGCATCACTGGTTGCGGTTAGTGTGGGTGACCACTTGGATTAGTCAGCTTAGGGGCTGAGGTGTGCGGTATGGGTCCTCGTAAAACTGTTCTACCGTAAAGGGCTCGACTTCGCGTGCAAGTCATCGGGCTACTGAATTGGGGGAAATATCTCCTCTGCAGAGGATCAAAAATTGCGATGGTATGTTTTCGGATCATCCTCAGGGATGTTTCCCAGACATTCGCTAATAGCCCATTGTGCAGCTCTAGTACGACGTTAATGAACTACAACAACAACAGGGCGCTTTAAGTCTATACCACTGGGTATCAGGATTCTTTTGGCCGGATAGTGTACTAGTCATGCGTCTGACATCTTGAACACGAATAGTTCTTTAACACCTTTGCTACTGACTTGGGAAGATCCCGAGATAATTTATCCGGCAAGTGTCGTTTAGACTGTAGAAACCACCATGTGCCATCGCGTGTCAAGGAGCAATGACTTCATAATTCATAAAACAGGAAGCAAACAGACGGATTTTTGTTTTTGCATAACTCATTGAGGCACTGAAAAGGGACATTCTTGTTTCAATGTTGTAGTGAACGAACCTCAGTGTGGACTGTCGTAGATGTGAGAGTCTCTTTGCTTCGTCCCTCCTGGGTTAGGTAGAGGTCGATCCATCATATTCTACAAAAGAAAGAAGGAAATAAGATTATCGCAATGTTAAAAAAGTTTCTTCCTAGCTGTTTAAAATAAATAGCTTACGCACCATCATCTATAGTTTGTCTATTTGAAAAACTCCCACCGTTCGTCTGGAGTAGTGGCAGTGACTATGGCTACGAGGCTTAACCATTTCAAGTATTTGTCATTATTTAAGACAGGGTTTGGCTCGTTTTGGCGAAAAAAAGAGAGTCAGGGGAGGATGAAGCTCCCCTTTTTAAAATGCACTATTTCTAGTTTCCATAACAGCAGGCGGTTTTAGATAGTGTGATGAGGGGAGTTCTTTCCGTAGACAAACTACATATTACCTAAAATACCTATTTCTATTCTTGCATTGGTAACAAAGTAAGGACATAACCTGAGCAGAAATGAGAAGTTAAAATCAAATTATTCGTATAAATAAGTAAATTTCGAATTATTTTAGTTTCAGGGATGCTGATTTATTAACTCATAACAAATGCTGAGCTGTAATTTAATTTTAATGAGGTTTCATAATTTAGGTTAAAGAAAGACGAAACTGTCTCTCGTTGTGTCTTAACTTCCCAGTATTGATACGTTTTTAGGGCAGCCCACATTCTTATATTGAAAGAAATTGCTCATCTTTCAAACCTACATCTATGTCTTAATTATTACTACTTTTATTCTTACATACTTAATTTAAGGGAAAAACAGTTGATGATAGATTAAAGGAGTCTCCCCAGACACTGAAATTTAGAATTCATGAAACGTTATTTATTTTGGGAATGATTTGTTTCATAGGTAATTTCCAAGTTGTGCTGAAATGTATAAACTAATATAAACTAAATGTACACGAATGTCACATAAGTAAATGAAATATGTATAAATCAAAATTCAATTTTGTGTGAAATGTTTTTAAATTAAAAGTTTCTCAGCAGTCATATGATACACATTTTTAGAACTTTATTTTAAACGGAGTACTACCATTCTTATATATCAAGAATAACATACCCAATTCAAAATTCTTGATTGTCCCATCAAAAATTTTCGATGGTTTATTTTGATTTCAGTGAGATTCATGATGGTCACCATTGTCCAGCATTTTCCATTACGAGTTCATGGTTTTTTAAAAGCCAAGAAACTTCCATCATTCCATGATGGAAAATGCTACTTTAAAAATATGATGGTTAACCATCAAGAGAAGTTTGATTCTCATGAACCAAGAAACCATGGTCCGTGATGGTTGGTTTCTACGATACAGTCCCATGATGATTTAGTAGGAATACTTATTAGTTCTCAGGAATATACCATGAAGACAATTTTTTTAATGTTGGATCATAATAAATCAGTCAGAAATTGTTCATAATCGTTAGAACATTTGATTTCTAAGAAACTATAAAGAAAATTTCTGACGGTTCAATCTGAACAAACCATCACAACAAGTTGCTACTCTTATGTTAGACCATATCAAATCACTCCGAATTGCTACATTGGCGTGATGGTTACATATGATGGTTACTATTAAAAAATAAAATGGTTCATGATGGAATTATTGACGGTTACCATCAGGATTACGTAAGTCCATCAATGGAAAACCATCAAAAATTTTGACTTTGGAATGAAGCGTGCTAGGATTCTGACGGAATCTGTAAAGCGGTGCAAAAGAATTTACACTAGTAGGAAGTTGAAATGAATGATGCCTCCTAACTTTAAATAGTTATCGTTTTTGAATTGAAAAGAATAAATAGTTTAAATAGTTATCGTTTTCTAGTTGAATATATACATTTTGGAACGATTAAATTTGCCCCCGAGCTCAAAAAGAAACTAAAAGTGCGTTATATTTTCCTTAATTGGGTATTGTTAAGAACTTGTTTTGTCAAGTATTGTTAGGAATTAATTGGATATTGTTGTTATTGTTTTATTGGGATAAACCTATTAAGATTTTTTTTATTTTATGACCGTCGTTGAACAGCCGACCCAATATAGAGGTTTTACTACTAATGTTCAATTCTACAGCCATGCAATTTTGAACCCGATCCAGATGACACGGGAACTCCGGAATACAACAATAAGACAGATTTGCCTTCTTGGTGGACTTATTGGAGGAACTAACCCGCATTTGCATTACATAGAGGGGAAAACCACGAGAACCTCACATGGTTAGCCAGATTGTAAGGGTATTCTAACCCATGATCCGTCTACCACTGAGAATATTTTATGTCAATACTGTGATAGGTGCGAGCAAGATGCGGAATTTATTACAACCAGCCATTGCTGGGATTTGAACCCGGGACACCTCATTGGAAGGCGAACGCTATCACTGCTCAAACCTACTCAGATGTAAAGACCCTGCTGAGTGCATATTCTTCATAACATATTAGGAGAGCTCAGAACTTATATTTGATAATTGTGATAGCCAAACAGGCTTACTAATTTGAATACAGCTTACATGACTTTGTGCATGAAATAGTTGTCTATGCAAATCTATGCATACACAAAACAATCATCGCAATGCAACACAAACCAGCAGCAATCCTTTAATAACTATAATTCAGGAGAATTTATTCTATAATACTATAATTTAATCTAAAGAGAAGCTCAATGCATATTGCCAGGACGTTTTCACAATAAAAGCGGCCATAAAATACTCGGTATAGCTTTACAATCTCAATTACTTAGTTGGTAAGTTTAATTTAGAAACAAGAACTTGCCCTCGTAAACCGAATGCCTGCCTTGAAACCATCCCTATCTTTTCAAATGTCGAAATTATTCGATTATTCGCTTGAATGTATGTGCTAGTAGGTAATGGAGGCCGGGATAACCTGGTTGGCAGGGCGCAGGACTCACGTTCGTAAGAACGGAAGTTCGAATCTAGCAGGAGACTCCCCGTGTAGTAGCTGGTGACTGATGCAAGTTAAATCTATCGGGTCACTAAGTCCTCCATGTTCCCATAACAAATCAATATCTCTGGGGGATACTGAATTGGAGATGGATTGTTCCCTGGTTCAGATCAAAACTAAAATCCGTGGATGAATGAATGGGTCGGCCCTATAAACGGGTGTGACGTATGGGTGTGGCAGAAGTCGAATTCTTGGCTATTGAAGGCGGAATCAGAAAACAAGAACAATCACACACCCTGACAACAACTACAGTAAATAATGGAAAGTTAATTTAACTCTCTCTTTCTCAAATATTTATCTGTAGGAATCCATTCAGTTCTTTTTCTGGATATTCAACAACAAAAAAGAAGAAAATGCTGCTGTGTGGGCACAATAAATTTAGCAAATTTGAACATGAAATTGTGTTTCCATAAAATGCCACTATTCTCTTATTCATTTTCCAGCTTCTCGAGACGGAAAAGAAAGCGATGCTCGTAACATAAAGTGTAAAATAACAGGAAATATAAAAACAAGTAAGATGATACATAAAATAAAATTATTTTCTGTTGCATAATTAGAAAATTTGACCTCGATAGAAAGTTTCCGTTACCACATTGATTTAATCATCATTTAAATGTCATTATAATCTTACCTTAAGCAGGACCAGATCATAACACGATTAAAAAATAATAAGTAGTCACTTTCATTGTTCATCAATTAAAAGTTTAAATATTACAGAAAATATTACGTTAAGTACAAATTCATCTATTTGAAAAAATAAATAACGATTATATCTTTATAATTAAGTTTTATCAGCTTTGTTGTTGTTAATGGCTGATTAACATGACTGTTTTGTGTACTGAAGATAACACCACGTGATTTCTTTGAGAAAGCATGAAACGATCATTCGGATATTTTAAGCATGTTTGAGAAGCAATTACCTGCGTCGCGAGGAAAGCTTTCATTTCTTGATTGGGTTCCTCTATGAGAAGTTCCTCTCCCATGGGCACTGTGGCATAGGGGGTGGGATAGTGCAAGAGAGCGGGATCGTGATAGGCCGGCAGGGAACGAGTCTTGTCGATGTCCACGTACCGCTGGGTGGCTGCAGCTGCATAGATGAACCGCTTATCCTCTTGAATGGCTGTGACAGAAATAATAAAAGGTTACATTTTAATATACAGGGTGATTTAAAATGAATATAGCTATTACAAACAGCTATAACTATTAAATGAAAAATAATTCATTCTTCTTTTAAGTGAAGAAGGAATGAAACATGTTCTGACCTCTTTCCAGGTCTCTTCTGGATTTTGCTTTCAAGATCCAAATGCAGACAGCAATGATGACAACTGTCACCGCCAGGAGAGAGGCTGCCACGGGGATCATCAGTGACATGTCCAGCATCATCGGCTGATCATCATCATTATCTTCACGGGACGAAAAAATCTTGTTGTTTTCTGCTAATAAGAAAAGAAATTGGGTGTCTCTTATACGTCATCAAATGAAGCAAACTAGAATAGCTACTAGTTGAAAGATTAGAATAAAACGGTCATTCTCATCTTTTTTTTTATTTTATCACAGCACACTTTTAACGATTTCGAAATTTGACGGCACACACATTAAAAAATAAGTTTAAAAATTGTTTATTTATCTATAATACACAGTGGGAATTGTTATTAACAGTTTTCCTTTTTTTGCTAGTTATTAATTGTTAGTTTTTTTTTACATTGTTATTTTCTTTGTTAACTTGTTTTTTTGCTAATTATTAATTGTTAGCTTGATTTTTTTGTTACTTATTATTTCTTAATTCTTTTTGATAACTTTTAATTGTAGAGCTTATTATAACCGTTAGCTTTTATTTCCTTTAGTAAGTTAATATTTAGCTTTCTTTTTTTTAATTAGAAATTTTAACAGTCAATAAATTTTCCACTCATTTTAAGATTGTCAGAGACGTTCACGCAGATATATATATATACACTCTTCTTTAATTTAAATTTTATTCATAATTGAAAAATGCATTATAATTTTTACTATATCACCTCTAAAAGTTGGCGGCACAATGGTTGAGAATCACTTGAACAAAAGTTTACTTTGCCAATACTAGAGTATGGCTGCAATTTTAAATATCGAAAAGTTAAATCTGATACAATTAAGAAACCTAGTGAGTTTCAACGAGTATTATGGAAAACTTTATTTATGTTACACAAACAAAGAAATGGAATGTAAACAAAAATTTGAGCTTTATTATTATATTACTCGTTATTAACTTATTAATTGAAGATGAAAAAAATAATAAGATAAAAAAAAATATATACTAAAGATTTAACTCCCTTACTTCCGATTAGTCCTCGGAAAAGTTTCGGGACACAATAGCCGTGGGAATCCTTGAAAAGGTTAATCTCGCTTCATTAATTTTATATGTTGATGGTAAGTTATTTTCCCACCTGTGACTGGTGTGGCCATCTGCTGATAGCTTTAGAAGGTACAAAATATTAATACCAATGAAGAGCTTTGTATGCATAAATGTGGGCAACAGTAAAGGTTGGTGTTAAGTCAAGAGACGCCAACATTGGGGAGCAATTTTCTCTTCATCATTTTTCAATCGAATTTGTTTATAGTTATAAATTCAAGTTTATGTTCAATTCTTTACAAAAGGTAAAATATCCACCCATTCCACCAACCTTCCCACTTAAAAAATCAAATGAGATTCAAATCAAATGAGTTTCTTATTATAAATCAATCTCGATTGCAAAAATCAAATAAAAACAATCTCTCTATAAAAAGTTAAGCAATTTCCTAGCACCGATGCCAAAACTGCATGATATTTCTACAGTGCTTGGACAACAGCAATGGCCTATACGTACTAAGTTAGTAAGAAAATTAATGCATTTAATAGTTAATTCAAATAAAATTAAACAATGTTTAGAGTTATTCTTCGTTCGTTTCCATATGAATATTCGGAACTTATGTAGTAAAAAGAATGTAACCCTTCTTGTTTTCTTAAAAAAAAATTTTTTTTGATTAAGAAGAAACAACTTATGCTTAGTTTTAAATAATATCATGCTAAAATTCATACTAATGTAATAATATCTTGATTATCTTAATTAAAAAAATATTTGTATTTTTCATTTGTATTTTTCCTTTCTTTATTTTATATTAATTCTTTTTCAAAACCTACTCATATTTAAAAAATACATTTTCTAAAAACCATTTTTTTTTCATTTTCTTTTTTACATGAAAAAAACTTTGTTCTCTGCAAACGATAGAAAGGAAGCTACTCAGAACGTTTATGCATGGACATAATTTATAATCATGTCAATATGGACTAAACTAGTTGCAATTTTCCTATAAGGAAATAGTCACATTTTTAAAAAATTCTTTTTCAAGATTTTCTTATTTATACTTTCAAAAAAAAAAAATTCTTTGAAAACTATAACATTATTTAAATATTTTCAAAAATAAATAATTTATTTATTATTTCATCAGACTTACAAAAAATACAGATGAAATGAATAAATTTAGTAAACAAGTTACACTTTTTTTCTATAAAAACCGACTCAAATTTTAATTTTTTTTCTTCTTTTTTACATTTTCTTATTTATACCTACAAAAAAAAAATTAAAAAAAAAAGACTCTCTGGAAACGATCTAAAAATTATTTAAATTCGTTCAAAATAAATAATTTACTTATGATTTCATCAGAAAAGAAATATCGAATAAAAAAAACTCAGAAAAATGATCTTTGTTGCATATCTACTAAATGTTGTATCGATTCCACTTTCAAAAGGTAGACTTTTATTGATTTTTTTTTGTTGCTGTTACCATATGTTTTGACTGTGACGACATCACTTGGATCTCCCTCCCCGTATTCCCCATTGGCTGTGACGTACAGCTGGTAGAAAGAACCGCTGTGAAGTCCCGTCAGTGTGTACGAGTTCTCTGTGGGTGACGTCACCGCCACACGCTGCCAACTCTCACCCTTTCGTCGGTAATGGACAGCGTGACCTGCATTAAGAGAGAGAAACATTTTATTCTTCTTTTTTTTCATTTCCTTATTTTAATGCTATTTAACAACACACTATATATACATACAGAGTAACATATACGGCCAACTAATTGACCTAGAATAATAACTTACTTTCGTAAGGTACACTAGTACCCCATAATATAATACGTGGCCCAGTTTGAATATTAACGAGTGATATAGGGCCATATAGTAATACAGTATATAGTTTATAACAATAAAAAAAAATTTATGTTGTACAAAAAGTCACAAAATTCTAAGAAATTGTGTCATTACATAAATCATTGTTTTTCGAATTGAAATGAAAAAACAGTCAGAATGACTTCCTTCGGCAAACTACTGTTAAGCTCGAATTTCCTCATTTTAACGCTATTCAAACACACTATTATATATATATATATACATAAACTTGTTTGTCATCTTGTGTAACCCCTAATAAGCCTATAATTTCCTCTCGTAGGGTACACTAGTATCCGACAATATAATACGTGGTCCAATATAATTATTATGGGCTAATATTAAGATACGATATCGGGCCATGTGCTAAAATAGACTAATGACTTCGAATTTCCTCATTCAAACGCTATTCAACGCACTATTATACTCATACATACATAGTAAACTATAGAGCCACATTGTGTACCCCCTAACAAGCATAAATATTTCCTCAGGTTGGGTATACTAGTACCCAGTAATATAATACGTGGTCCAATATAAATATTATGGNGATATTTTCGTTTTCCCATATATATATATATAAGCTATAGGACCACATTGTGGAACCTCTAATTGAATTATAATAATTTTTTCCGGTAGGGTACACTAGTATTATGCCATGTAATATAATACGTAACCCTGTTTAAATATTATGGATCAATATTAAGGATTAGGATTATGGATTAGAAAAAACAATTTAATAATGCTCGCTTACAACTTATTACACGAAACAAGTAAAATAAATAAATTAACTCTTGTCATTTTTGTCAAGAGTTTCTGTCTTTCAAAAATAATTATTTGTTTCCTTCTTTTTTAAATAATAAGCAATGAATATACTTTCTAATAAGTTTTCTATGGTAAAACATTTTGTAGATTCATTCCTCGCATAAGTGGCTAAAATTCACAAAACAATGATAAAGGAAAACTTTTGAACAATAATGCAAATCTCGCATAATTGCGTAGCATTAAATAAATTATTATCTTGTTTATAATATATAATTATTAATAATAACGTTTATTATTTTCTAATTCAATATGCACGTTACTGTAAATATGTTAAATTTGATTGATCAAAGATTGAAAAGTGAAGTATGAAATAAATTATATTTTATGCATTTATTCTCGGTTAGATGAATAATGGGAAACCTACTCAGGCATATTATACAATGACAAGGCAAAATAATTTTCATATTTCACACCTCACAAGGCATTATTTGCAATGAATATTCATTTATTTAGTATGCAGGCTTTTCATACAATAAAGATAACATACATACTACTGAAGTTAAATTCCGTTTTAGCGAAATCCGAAATAGGGAAAATTTCAATGCAGCGAATATTTTTTGAATACCGAAATGAATCCCCATAGAAACAATTAAACGAAATATCCCCATATTACGAAATTGGGAATCCAATTTAACGAAAGTGAAACTAAGCAACAATACTTTTTTTCTCTCAGATGATTAAAACACTTTTCCACTCTTCAAAAGTAGACAATGATCTCAGAGTTCAAATATTTTTGCATCTTCAAAATAAAAAGTTTCAGATATGAAAGGGGCACGTCAAAAAAGACGAATCACTGGGAAGGGACCACCCTGAAAAGACTAAACTCCAACCCATTCATGTTTGAAGAAGTCAAAATACATGTGACTTTTCAAAAGAGTGATTTCCAGTCCAGTTGTTTGAAAATGGGCATCATTAGGTGAAGTTTGTAATTTCTACTTCTTCTAAATCATTTGTACAGAAAAAAATTACATAATTTCTTTTAAGTAATAAATGCATTATTCCTTTTAATTTAGTTGCTTTTGTAAGCCTTTAAAATATTGATTTGATATTTTCAGCAAGTAGAGTACAAATAGATCAAAACTCTAATTAAATACAATATGTATTATTATTTTATGTGCAAAAATGTCAACGTAACGGAATAATTTTGGTTAATGTTGAAATTCGTCATATCTGTACAACGAATTTTCGATATCGCGTAGCGATTGCTTCGGTCCCTCGGAATTCCCTGAAACGGGATTAGACTGTATATAATAAAATTACACTGAATATCTGAACATATGAATTTATTACGTTAATGCAGAGGTCGCCAAAGTGGTCTATATAGACCCCCAGGGGTCTATTTAACAAAAGCGGGGGTCGATCTGAGCCAGGGGGTCGAATGGGGGTCGATCCGAGTTGGAAGGGTCGAAGAAAAAACAGTTCTTAATATGCAAATCACACATACCTGATTGAGTATGTAAAATTTGCGAATATTTTTATAATTGACTTAATATCAGTTTCTCTATAAAGCGTAAATTAATAAACTTATTCGGGTGAAACAAGTATTTACGTACCAGCGTGCAATGGCACGAACTAAGCACAGTTTATAAGTCAAACGCATATGCGCGCTTGTCCAAATGTCACGTGTGACGAGCATTGACGTTACAAACGCAAATATCATACTCAGGTTCAGCTATCTTTGCAAATTGTGTTGAATATTTGTAGTGTCATTATTAAAACTTTCATAGTTTTGGATAATCAGTTATTGTTTTGATAAAACCACTCGTTTAGTATAGATATCAATTTTTATTATCAATGCATGTAAAAAAAATAAGACAAGCATTAATAATATGGATTAGTACAGCCCGCAGCAAAACTATAGCACACTTTGTATTTTTTTACACAATTGACCAATTTTGACGAAAATTAAAATTGACCAATTTTGAACCCAATACAGCGAAACTTGCAAAAAAAACACCAGGCACACCCATCTCATTGATTAAGAAGTAAGAAATCTGTAGTTACTTTACTTATTATTTCTACTTATTCATAATTACATATTATTTAATAAATATTAAGGTATTTAAATTTCAACATTAATATATTTTTCATAAAACTATTGTTACACAATGTACTATTACTTTAATAAATGTTTAAAATCGCAAAATAAATGTACAAACACGGTATCTAATAGTTTTATTTAAATTAACAGAAAATTACTTTTATGGGGGTCGATGAAGATTTCGAAAAATTCTATAGGGGTCGATGATCAAAAATGTTTGGCGACTCCTGCGTTAATGGGTCTGTGTTATCGGGTAACAATACAGTATCATATTCATCACATTTTATTATTTTTTTGAAATTTTTATTCTTTTAATACTTATTTTTAGGTGGTGGGAAGGATAGTTTATGAAAAGAAAGAGTGAAACATACCAGATACTTTACTTTTGGTGTCAACAGATCTCCATTGAATTTTTATTGTGTTTTCAGTAGTTGAGACAACGAAAACAACAGGTGGCGCTGGCAAATCTAAAAATAAATATAAAACATTAAAGAATGTTTACAAGAAATGGTAATGTAAGTTTATTTGAATTCGCTTACTTTTTTGCGTGTTCTTTCTTTGCATTTTATTTTCTGTTTTTTGCTTGATATGTTTCATTTCATATATACTTTTTTCCATTTATTAAATTTATTTTCGTTTCAATTTTTTTCTGAGTGCTCCTCACACTATTGTTTTATTGACTATTGACTTATTGTTTTATTTTCATTTATATTTCACTTTGGCTATATTGTCATGGAAGCTAAGGAAGAGATTATATCTTATCATTTTATTTTCCTGCTTTTTAATATTTTTTNATAAAGTTTAAAATGTTGAGAAAACATGGAAAAAATTACAGAAAAATGAAAAAAGGGGCAAAAATAAAAATAATAATAAAAATAATGAAAGTCCGGAAGAAAATTTAAAAAAAAGGATAAAAATAAATAAAATCCGGAAAGTAAAAGATAATCTTTTTATCAGCTCACATGATTATATTCGCAAAAAGGAATGCTTTCTAATACTCTGTATCTATACAGCCAAAGCAATGTACATCAATACAATAGTGTGAGAAACACTCAAAAAAATTTTACAAAAAATTTACAACAAATAAACAGAACACATTAAGTTAAACTATCACGAACAGAAAATCATATCAGAACAGAAAATAAAATTAAAGAACAGAAAATAAACTTAAAGGAAAAACACTGTATATATATTCGATATTTTCGTTTTCCCATCATGCAAGGTAACAGTGCCTGACTGCTTTTTTATTTATTTTCTAGTCATCAATTTTGAATAAAGCTCTTAATTGCAAAATTCATTTTCTGGAATATAACAATTGTTCGTGTTTACAAAAGCGCAGGCATTTAAAAATGAATCATATCAGAATATCGAAATAAGTTTCACGTGACAAAATTCGTAAACAACGACTCATTCTTACTATCAAGAAGATGCTGTACCTTGGGAGAAACCATTCACGGCAAATTCTCTGCCACCCATTTAAAAATTTTAAAGCTTATGGAAGAGTGAGTTCAAATAAACTATCAAGTTTCAAACGCTGAAAAATTCTTTTTAAAATGCAAACAAATGATGAAAGGGATATTTAAGATTACGCATTGGGGAAGTAATCCTGTAATCATATGTTCACATTTAACTATATTTTTTAAACCAAATTACAGTATTTGAAATTTCATTGTTTTCTCTATCACTTCATTTCCTTCTATCTGAACTCACTCTCTTTGAACTTGAAATTTTAAAATGCCGATGGAGGTGAAACAGAATTAAACATGAAGGATTTTTCCCATGGTATAGTGTCCTCTCAAGTGCTTCCCCAGTAGCCATACCTGCCAACCTTGGAGAGAAAAATAACTGAGATTTTTACCAGTGACATTTTTGGGCTAGGCGTAAGTTTTTATACGCCATGCAAAAAACGGAAAAATCAGAAAGAAAAATGCAAAATAGAAAATACTATAACAATTTGCTTTTAACATAGAAAAAAAAACACGTATATAAGTCTTAAAGAAACTTTTTAAAGCAATTATCATACTTATATAAAGTAAACCCTCAACATTTAGGTCATTTCTATAATTCTTAGTGATAAATTTTATTTCTCAGAATCTACATATTCAACGAACAAATGTCGTTGCCATGGTCTTGTATAGGAAATTTTTGCCAGAATTCAGTTCATAAAAGTTACAAGAAAAATTACTTTTCATCATAAAGCGAAATAAAGTGAATTTTTTTCTTTTTTACTTTTTTTTAAATAACCGTCGTTGAACAGCCGACCCAATTTTTTGTGTTTACGACTACTAATGTTTAACTCCGTAGCCTTGTCGTTTTGAACCCAATCCAGAAGACAAGGGAACTCCTGGATAAAGTAGTAGGAGAAATTTGCCTTCGTGGAGGACTTTTAGACGGAACTAAATCACATTTGCGTTACATGGAGAGGAAGACCACGAGAACCTCCGATGGCTAGACTGACGGCAAAGAGACTAACCCATGATCCATCAACCACTGAGGATATTTCTCTTCAGCACTGTGGCTGGTTTAAGCCGGATGCAGATTCGTATAAACCCACCGTCGCTGGGATTCGAACCTGGTTCGCCTCATTGGAAGGCGAACGCATCACGGCTCTTCTTTTTACTTTAGAGAATATTTCTTTTGCCTCGCAATGCCAGTATCTGCAGTAATTTTTATAAATGATTTTTATAAAAATACAATCCATTTTCTGGTGCCCAATTGAGAGAAATATTTTTCCATTACCGTAAATTTTATTGCCAAAAAAAAGTTCGTTTTTTAATTTCTTATAATTTGAATTTGAAAAATATATGGGTAATAAATAAATAATTGTAAAATGCAGGAGGCCTTACAGATATGTTGTACCCATCACGTTAAAAAAAATAATAAAATTGTGATTTAGTAGGCAATTGATTGATTGCGAACTCCAATGATGATGGTGACATAAAAATATACCTCCTCCTAATGTTCTGATGATGACCTCCTGCGAAGGTGGACCACTGCCCGCCGAATTGAATGCTTTCACAATGACACTGTACTCTGTGTCCTTTCTGAGACTGCTTATCATATGTTCCTGTATCCCTCCCGGCACATACTCCACAGTCTTGAAGGAGTAAGGGTGACTGGAATCCTGGAGCATCTTGTAACCCACGTAGTAACCCTTCAGCTTTCCGTTCCATTCACTCTTCAGGGGAGGCTTTAAAGAGACAAAATTATTAAATATCCTGATTAATACAAATAAAGGGTATCGTATATTTTGGCAATTTTGTTCTGTTTATATATTACCCCGCATATAAATAGTGCGGATTTTGCATTTTATTTTATTGCGGATTTTATATTTTATTATAAATTGGGACAGGGGATGGGATACTAGGAAGATCATTCACTAAATTACTAGAATTTTTCAAAACATAAAATGTTTCCCAAAAATCCAGGTTGACATATGAAGAGCAATGTTGAATGATTTTAGTAAAAGAAAACCCTAAGATATGATTAGAATTTCATTTAATATCCTGATTTCGGACATATCTTTCCCTTTCTTTGAATCAAAATTACTGACACTATGTGTTCCTCCCACTTTGGAAAGGTGCTCAATTTTCGTGTGATCCATTTGACACTTATAAGATGTTGTCACAAGTTATTTATATTGCTCTTACATAGCATACTCGTATTTTATTTTATAACCGTCTTTGAACAGCCAACCCAATTTTGGGTTTACAACTACTAATGCTCAACTCCATAGCCTAATTTTGAAACCCATCCAGAAGACAAGAGAACTCCTGGATCAAGTGTTGGGAGAAATTTGCCGTCGTGGAGGACTTTTTGAGGAAATTAACTTGCAGTTGTGTTACATGGAGAGGAAAACCACGAAAACCTCCGATGGTTAGCCTGATGACAAGAAGACTCAAACGCATGACCCGTCTACCAATGAGAATATTTTATGTCAGCACTGTGGTCGGCGCTAGCTGGATGCGGAATTCGTATCGACCATTCATCGTTGGGATTCGAGCCCGCTCACCTTATAGGAAGGCGAGTAGAAAAATGTAAAGGGAGTACAATGGAATAAAAAAACTTAGCTGTTAAATCCGCAAATTTCAATTACAGAACTGGAATTTAACACGTTGAAAATACCATTTTTACTTATGATTTGAAATCATTTTTTTTTCTTTTCGAAATTGAATTTATTAATTTTTTTGTGTATTTAATGCACATTATTGCATTTCACAGCGGTTTGTTTGCTTTATTTGTTTTTAAATTTTCAAATGTTTCTATCTTATTAAATATTTATCCATTATTTAAAAAAAAAATGTCTCTCGCGGATCATCATGTTATAAGCTCGTGCTTGACTTAAAATGTCAAAAGGAACGAAAAAATAAATATAATAAAAAGGAGAAATAGATTAGATGTTGATAAATATAAACATCTAATCTATTTCTTGACAGTTGAATATATTATTTTTAACAGCATAAAATGCTCAAGAGATATAAAAACAGTTTCCAAATTGAACTATGACATGTTATTACGTTATCGTTATAAATTATTAACAAGTAAAATTATTTTTCCTTTATCACTTCTTAGTGTTCCTTTTTTTTCCAAGTACAGTTGATCATTATTTTTCAAATCTAGGTTCATTTCGTTTCAACTAACACATTAACTAAATGCTATAACAAATTTATGTTAAATTTTTTTACAACGAAAATAATCGTTTTTTCCACTTTAAGGGAAGAAAAAAACAAAAATGATTAAATGATTAAAAATTAAACATTTAATTCATAAAGTGGTAGGTGGCTATTAAATAAAAGTAAAGAAAAATTTCTTGCAACTAAAAGTCCATTTTTCACAACTATACAATGTTGAGAAGAAAAAAACCCCACTTACAACGGAAGTGAACAGAAGAAAAAAAATTCAAAGAGACCACAAATGAAAAGAATTTACAATAAAGTGTGTTATTATTAATAAATTGTGTCAGATCAGTGTTAACCCCTTCTTATACAATAAACCCTTCTAAGTCCGTAAAAGCTCGATATAAACAATTGCGGTATAATACGAGAAGCTCACCAATTCGACAATTTTTCGTAGTCACAGTTAAAATGCTAATATTAAAGCAGGGCTGCCAACTTTCTACGCCTTTTGTAAACATTTATTCTAGTGGTAGCTATGTTTATGTTTTAATTATTTTTTTATTCATTTCAATTTGTTTTCCATACCACTGCATATAAATGATTTAAAAGTTCATATGCAACGCCAAACTTTGTTCCAGATCTTACGTGGTAAGGCTTTTAAAATGTTGGAAAAATGACCAAAGATTCAGAAAGTTGCGGTCTTGAAATGCCTACCACTTTATAAAATAGTTCGAAAAAAGCGTATTAGTTGGAAGGCTTGTTAAAGATACCAAAAGCTGATTCAATTTTTGAGTTTACGATTACTAATGTTCAACTCTGTAGTCTTGCCATTTTGAACCCAATCCAGAAGACAAAAGGGAGCTCCTGGATCAAGTAATGGGATAAATCTTCCCTTCGTGGCTGTTTTTTTTTATGGAATTTGACCGCATTTTCGATAGATGGCCAGGGAGAAAACAAAAAACTCCAAAGGTTAACCCGATGGCAAAGGGACTCTAACCCATGATCCGTCTACGACTGAGTATATTTTGCGTCAGCACCATACATGGCAGTACTTTCACTTTCGTTACTTGTACCGCCGGTACAAGTAAAAAGTACGTACTTTTACTTGTACTTCGTTACTTTTTAAATTTATTACTTTTACTTGTACTTTCGTTACTTTTTTAGGGAAAAAGTAAAAGTATTTGTAACGGAAATATCGAATGAAATCGTTACTTTTTTGTAAAACTCGGTAAGCTTTCTTAAAAAAAATAAATAAATAAATAAATAAAAAAAAGCTATGAATGCAATATATATGCATTCACAGCTAACTTCGTTTTTAAATATCTTCTGTTTCAACTTATGCACACATTCAATTATTTTTTACTAGCTCAAAGATCACAAAGCTATCTGAAACCCCGTGTTTGCTTTGTTTATGTTTGTGTTTTTAAAACGCGTTTCTAAAGAGTAAAACAATTTTAAATCAATGGTAATTTAAATAAATAAAAATAATAAACTAAAAATTAAAATCAATAGATAAAATTTCTTTTTCGTGCAAATCCATAAAAAGTTTGAAATTAAAACTATATTTGATTTTAAAATTATATTATACGATTATATTATAAAATTATATTATAATATTCTTCCGAATTTAAAAATAAATTAATATCCATAACTTTCAAAATTAAAAATAATTAAATAAATAACAACAATTTTGCAAAAACATTAAAGAACATAAGAATATTATTCAATAAAATTTTAGGTTACTTTGAATTTTCGATTTCCTAGAAATGTACTTTTAAATCGTTACTTTTTTTGTTTAGTACTTGTACTTTTACTTTTACTTTTTACTCGTTACTTTTTAAAATAAGAACTTTTTACTTTTTACTCGTTACTTTTTTTAAAAATACTTGTACTTTTACTCGTTACTTTTTAAAAGTAACGTTGCCATATATGGTCAGCACTGTGGTCGGTGTGAGCCGGTTGAGGAATTCGAATCCCCCAGCTGTCGCTGGAATCGACACCTCACTCGGAGGTTAGTGCTCTATCACCTGATCCACCACGACTCAAGTATCATTAACCCCTTAACGATCGGTTAATTTTCAAGAAAACGGTCATAAAAGTGCCTATTTTTTGGCTTTTGTACTACGTATTTTATTAGTGCTGCAACTAGTTTAAAATAAACTAACTATCTACAATTGCCTTTAAAATATCCTGGTACTGCCATCAGGTGTGTAAAATGAGAAATAAAATGTTTTCCGGGCAAAAGAAACGAATTATTTTTATTGGCGCGTTACTACTGACCACTCCAGGCCGTAAATATCACGGGAGCGAGAAATATCGGGCGAAATATCACCCCGTCATTTTCAGGGGAGCGAGAATTAAGGGGTTAATAGCATGAAGCTACTGCACTTCAGTTCATTATTTAGTTTTAATTTATTATGTTAAATAAGCGTATAAACTTATAGCGATAAGTTTGTTGTAACAAAAATTCCATTTGCTATCAAATGTAGTTATTAACGGACTTTTTCTGTATTTATCTTTTCTCTTGAATAATTTATATGAAAATGAACTACCTTTCCCTTTAACTAGTGTGAATGTCCTTACTTTCCATGCGACGAGTAATGATGCAGTTCCTTTGACATCTACATTCACATCCATCGGTGCAGAGGAAGGCTCTGAAAAAGCAAAGAAGATGTAGCTCTCAAATCATTCAAGCAATGATTTATTACAATCAAGAATAATTGTATATATAATTGTATCAAGAATAATTGCATATACAAATTACAAGAATTGATGCTTTTTACTCATAAAATAATTGTGAGTCGAAATTTTTTCCTCCTTTAGGGATCAATGAGAAGTAAAAATCTTTCATCTTAAAGTCAATGATTCACGTATTCGACTGATAAAAAAAAGTTCAAAAAAGGATTTTTAAACACCTAACAATCAATAGAAAGACAATTGAAAATCGGATTTTCAAAATTTTATTTCTCATAATGAATATTTTTTTTATATCAAATTTCATAATTCACTTGATGCTTCTAGATATAAATCTTAAGATTTTATATCTAAATTTTTAAAAGACAAAACCGTTTCCAACTAGTATATGTTATAATTTTGTCATCAATCAAAACTTCCTCTCTTTATTTTTATTGTGTCGAGTATTCTGTATTCTTAAGCCTAAGCACAGTTTCCATTATAGGTAATCATTCATTTCTTTATGATTAACAAAACTGTCATACACAAAATTATAATAACTGTATATATTATGAGCAAAATGATCCATTATTTTCGAAACATTTTGGTTTTTTAGAGGGAAAAAACAATGATAAATGCAAATCAATCTCGGGAATTAGTGAGTGGAGCCTCCTTGTATGCTTAACAGCTTCCCTTACAAATTAAAAAAAATGCAAATAATCAACATATTTTTTTATATCATTAATAAATACAAGGAACTAAAACTACACAAGTTCTAAATGGAAATTTTAATTTTTTTAGGTTGAAAAATATTTAATTTACCATCAGTTTACTATCCCACATTATCTCTGGCAAATGAAAAAAAGTTAAATATTAGCCTCTGTATATGCTCACATGTTCATAATCTGAAAAATCATCTGCATTACTTTCACTTCGCTCGCGAATGCTATTATTTTTACTTTTTTTTCTATGTAAATTGATCAACCATTGTATATACAATTGTACAAAACACGCCTGCAATTCCACTTGCAGCAAAACTCCCAAACAAAAATGGGTAAACTTTCAATCACAGCAGATTATTAACATTTCTTGTTTTACTTCCAGCCGAGTAAAAACGTGATAAAACAAAACGCATTGACGTATTGAATTCTGCCATACCCGAGTTAACTCGGGATAATAAATATTTGCAATATATACATACACGAGTTAACTCGNCACTTGCAGCAAAACTCCCAAACAAAAATGGGTAAACTTTCAATCACAGCAGATTATTAACATTTTTTGTTTTACTTCCAGCCGAATAAAAACGTGATAAAACAAAACGTATTGACGTATTGAATTCTGCCATACCCGAGTTTACTCGGGATAATAAATATTTGCAATATATACATACACGAGTTAACTCGAGATAATAAATATTTGCAATATATACATACCCGAGTTAACTCGAGATAATAAATATTTGCAATATATACATACCCGAGTTAACTCGGGATAATCAGGGAAGCGGTAAAAAAATCATTGAATTAAAATTTTTTCAATGCACATAATATTGCCCAAATTTCAGTTTTAATCGATTTAAGTGCATCGATTAAACACATGAATTACATTCGAATAATGAATAGAGAATGTTGTTATACCTTCGTCACCCGTCGTGAAAGATAAAGTATCCGAAGGCTCACCCCGTCCCACGGTATTCTCAGCTACTATGGCTAGTCCGTAATTAGTTCCCGAATGAAGATCTTTAATGAGGGCAGAGGTCTGGGCACTTGTCACCCCTTTCTCTTCTAAGCGATGACCGCCACCGGACACTACATTGAAAGAGATAAAAACTATTCAAGAAACAAAGACAATAAAAAGTAATTGCAATTCTATTTTCAAAAATGCACAATTTACGTGTACACTCTCAGGCTACTCCGATATGGGGCCATTTTCAATTCGTACATGTTATTATAGACTTTACATTGACTTACTAGGTTAGATAAACTAGCCCGATTCTGTTCTTTGAATGCAAATGAGGTTTACAGGAATAATCAAAATACTGAAATCAAACGCAAGAAATAATTTGTTTAAATTTTATTTTTAATATTTGTTGGCGTAAACATGGGCACCAATTTTTTTTTATTGCTTTACGAGAACAATGCATTTTTTACAGCCATCAAAGGTGATTGACATTTTTGAAATCGGCAAAGCTTCTAAAAGAAGACAGAAATTGAAATATATGCCTTAATAAAGGTCGATACCAGTAAGTAAAATGCGATTTTTATTTACTCACCTTACGTATTAGCATTTGTCAAGCATTGTATTTCAATAAGGTAATAAAAAAAGTTGTCAAAACAATCTATAGTGTCAAAGTTTCCAATAATGTTAATGCCTGTTGTTTTCCTTTCTTTCATGATGATAAAAAAAAAATCACAAATTATTTAAGAAGGAAAAAACCAACATAATTTTATTTTTAAATTACATTGCTCTATGGACATATGCTGTTATGATTAAGAAAAAAAAAACTAAAAGCAATTTTTTTTTCTTTTATAATTTTGGGTAGATTTTTTTCGGTTGAAAGATTGTTAGGAGCTGAGGGCAGTTATAGAGGGTGGATAATCATCCAATCTAGTTTTGTTTTATTTTATTACCGTTGTTGAACAGCCGATCTAATTTTGGTTTTACGACTACGAGAGTTTTGATTTCATAGCCTTCTCATTTTGAACCCTACACAGAAGACGAGGGAACTCTTGGATCAAGTATTGGGAGAAATTTGCTTTCTCGGAGGACTTTTAAAAGAACTTATCCACATTTGCGGTACATTGAGTGAAAAAAAAAACGAAAATCTGCCACGTTTAGCCCGACGGCAAGAGGACAAACCCATGATATATTACGTCAGGACTGTAATCGGTGCGAGTCGTGTGCGGAATTCGTATCGACCAGACATCGCTAGAATTCGAACCCAGATCTCATCATCTGTATGAAAACTACACACAAGCCCATGAATGGAAACGTCATCAAACGCTGCTTGGAGAGCAGCCCTATTGTAAATTATTTCATCTGATTCTGAACAGTTTAAAATAGGGAAGTGTCCTTAGCCGCATATGACGATATTTCCGGGCGCAGTTTCCTACGTAATTTTATTCCAGGTGATATGACTTAACTCCGAAAGAAGTTTGTCGCAGCATTTGCGTGACTCACTGCTTAGACAGAAAAAAAAGAAGGAGAAAAAAAGACTCTAAATGTCATTTAAGAAAATAGAAAAACCGATTTCCGAATTTCATATTTGTAAACTAATTTCAACACACCCAAATCAGGTAAGACCAAGTATCTGTAGAGATGCAACGAAAAATTTGTTCCACCGTGGTAGGTAGGTATTTACGCCGTACTAGAGCTGGGCAATGGGCTACTGTCTGGGAAATGATCCGAAGGCATGACATCGCAATTTTGATCACTTGCAGAGAAGATGGCTCCCCTGCTTTGGTAGCCAGACGACCTGTGCGTGAAATAGAACACTTAACGATGGAACAGTTTAACGAGGACCGATGTCACGCACCCTCGGTTCCTACGCAGGCTGATAAAAGTGGTCAAACACTCGCCTATTGACCGCAGCCAGTGAAGCTTCGGTGTTCTACTTGGAACCGTGTCCTTACGAGTAGTCCACTGGGGGACTAACCATAACCAGAAAAATATATTATTAAAGATCTGTTAGTGTTTATAAACACCACTCTTTCAAAATAGCTAAAAATAGATAGCACTTCCAATACCTGCATCTTTCCAGTACTGAATCACGTATTTCGTGATTGGGCTGTTCCCCGTGTAAGGAGGAGACCAAGAAACACTCACACTCCGACTCCAGATTTCTTGCACTTTCAGGTCTAACGGAGTCGCCGGCACTTCTGTACAAAAAGAAACACATTATTGTTTACAAAAAGAAAAATAATATTAAAAAAAAAACTAATAGCTGCGTATACACTATTTGGTCAAAAGTACCCGGAGAGGTGGAAGTTTAATGGTCTGGGGTTGTTCCTTGTGGTTTAGAATGAGGACATTAGTTCCTGTGGTTGGAAACATGAACTCTGAGATGTATGTGGACAATGCTGAACTCTATGGCAACATTTCGGCTCATTTCTCTTCCAGCATTCGCCCATAGAGGCTTGCACAGACGTGGTTTGACGAAACGGGTGTTCAAAAAGGACTTCTCGGAGCCCCGATCCCATAAGGGACGAATTAGAACGCGGATTACATAGCCAGTCACTGCAAGCACTTACTTCAGATGTTCTATTATAAACTGTTGGAAAGTCTTCCCAGACGTGTGCAGGCTGTCATTGATGCAAAATGGGAACCACTATCCTACTAATATGAGCCTCAGGGCATCCCAAATTCATACCACTGGGTGTCCGGATACCTTGGGCTGGATAGTGTATCACCTAAATAATTAATACTGCTTTAAAACTACACTTTCTGAATATTTTTATCTTCCGTTGGTACTTAACATGATGGTTGTATACCGCGGAAGAAACCCTGCATAGTCTCTTTCAACTCCACTCAAAGATTAGAGTCAAATGAGTTCAGATCAATTTAGAGTAAAACACACAGGTTTAAATACTGAGTAAATGTTTTCAAAATGCAGTCAATTATTGTACAATTACTTCCCGCAATGCCTAATCCCGAGTTTGCATTTTTAAGTTTTATTTCATAATTTAGGACTTCATGATTTTTTCAAGGCTCCATATTTTATAATTATGTGGATGAAAAAGAATTCACTTTGAGTGGTTTGACCCCTCAAGGCCTGTTTGACCTGAGGCGTTTAATTATTTTTTTTTCTCAAAGAAATCACGTCCGCGAGAATGGGAGTTAGAATCCAAATAGGTCAAAGACTCCCCATGCAGTAAGTGGTGACTGGTGCTAGTCAAATCTTTTGGGTTACAAAGTCCTCCATGTTCCCATGACAAATCAATACCTCTGGGAATACTGAAGTGAAGATGGATCGTTCTCTGGTTCAGGTCAAAATTACGATCGGCGGATGAATGAATGGCTTCGCCCTTCGAACGGCTGTGACGTATGGGTTTGGCAGAAGTCGAATTCTTGGCCAAAGATAGCGCCTTTAGAAAACAATTATAATCACACCCCTTACCTTCATGATCTACGACGAACATTTGGTGTACATAAATGCCATAAAATATACCACACGATATAATTTAAAAAAATAAACACTTTGAAAGGCAAAAATAAAAACAAAAAGTAACTTACCCATAACCAAAAGTTTGATATTCCTTTCATCTTTACCGTACGGGTTTTCTGTCACACAAGTGTAAAGTTGACCGTCTGCTCGATTTGCTTCTCGGAGAACAAGTTCAGACTTTAAACCTTTGGGGGTGAGTGTCTCAAATATCTCATACCTGGAAGAATCGATCACAGTCCTTATATCGATACAATACTAGCCAATCACAGCTTAGTCGAACTCACCACTTTGCTGGTCCACATTGGCGAACTCAGCCATAATTAGCCCGATGGAGAAATGAAACTTTTCAGTTTTTCTTACTACAGTAGAGTCCCGATTATCCGAGTTTCCGTTTTACCCAGCCTAAAAATACTTCAAGGATTTTTTTGTTCTAATTTATTTTATATTTTAAAAATCAACAACCAAAAAAAAAAGGATCTGAATGTTATCCTCTAAACACTCAGGAATACAAATTGACGGACAACCGAGATCAATGAAATGTTCATTAATATCGTCAATAATGAAAATTAATCGAGGGAAGATGATGAAGACAGTGACGATGAAAATCAACGTATAAAAATATGTCATACAGATGGACTAAAAGTTATCGAAAGTGTTAGTGAATGCATAGAACAACAAGAAGAGGCGACACAATCCTTCCTGTTATCCCCCCAAAAAATGGCGAAACATTGCTGCAGAAAAGAGCCAAAGTAATGTAAAGCAAAAAGCGATTAAGTACTTTTTTAAGTAAAAACTCTTCAATTCTCGTACAGTATGATCTTGTTAAGTACGCATTTTAACTTAATATGAATTGTATGTGGTGTACTCGTATATTTGTATTTGTTAAATATTTGCAAATACAAAACTTTCGTACGTACTCTTTACTTTTATACCTACTCTTTCATTCCTTTTTAAAACTCTTCGTTGTAACCGAGTTTTTCGGTTATCCGAGTTAATCGTGGTTCACTTTAATTCCGATAATCGGGACTCTACTGTATTAGATAAATATTACATGATCTGAATTTCTATCTCAGTTAAAAGGAGTTATTTAGCATTACTATCAATTAGGATAGTTGCCGGCAATTACTAAGATGATTAAAAAATATCGAAATGAAACTTTATTTTTTTATTTGTCTCATAAAAAACACACGGTCTAAAATTGAGACATCTTGGTAAAAACGTGTTATTTAGCTTAACTGTCAACTTGTTTAATTACCCCGATAACTGCAAAATATCTAAATATAAAAATGTTCTATTTCATAAATAACAGCTCTAAATCTCATTTTCTAATTTCATTAGAAGTGGAAGAATGGGGTGATGGTCCATATTCATACAGTAATATAAAGTTCTAAAACAGTTTCTCATCGTTGTTGTCTCATTCTTATTGTCAAGAAATATGTGGTATGGTTCCTCAATTAAAAAAGATTTTTTTAATTCTCCATCAGCACGAAATTAAGGTAAGCTTCTTTGTCCCTTAGTTAAAAGTATTGACCTATAATAATTAATTATCAATCCTCATTAATAATAATCTCTGCTATCATGTTCTTGATTTTGATTATCATTCCATTATTCTCAATGAAAGGAATAAAACTAAATTCTTTTCTTTTTATAAATTAATCTTATGATGTTAAATTTAAACTATTTTAAGATATGTGAATCGATACCTAGATGATAAACAGCTCAACAGTTATGAACAGAGAAAAAGTACAAATTTACTTTTGTATAATAGGCTTTATGTACAGTGAACAAATGCAATAAAAATAATCCATGCAAAATTACTAAGAATTAGCTTTTCCTTTTTTTACGAAATAATCTTTTTGGCCGAAAATAAGTAACTTGTTTTTATTCTAACCAAACAATTATATAAACAGTAACAGTAATTTTAAAAAAAATTGAAGATAGCATTGCACTAGTAACAGAAAATATACAATTTATGTTTAAAATTTTTACCAGCTGAATAGGAAACTAAACCTGAGTTGATAAAAATAGTTTGCGTCATTTTTAATGTTGGTGAAATCATTCCTTTAATCATTAAAAAACAATAATGAAAATCGCAAGGAAAGCCTCTAATTCGCAGGATTAATTCTAGGTTCTCTTTTGGATTAATGCTAGGTTTACCGGAATTCAATCCTTGAAATTTAAATTATTAATAAGGTGAAAAAGAAGAGAACGTCATACCCCGAAAAAAATTTTCATCTCAAATTCTTTTTCTCCTTCATTCTTAGTTTAAAATTTAAAAGAAAGGAAAAGCAAGTTCAGGCAAACCTAGAGTAAGTCATGAAATTTCGATTGCTGAAAAAAAAAAATACTTCCAAATATTAAAATGCCAACAAATTATTAGAAAAGAACTTCTCCGTAGCGTTATTCCGAAATATCGCCTCATCATTTATTTTCGTTTGTATATTTTAAAATTTTCTTTTCATTATTTGAAACTACGTGGCTTACTCTGGGTTCGCCTGAGCTCACTTGTTCTACACTATAAATTTTAAATTAGTAATAACGGAGAAAGAGAATTTTGCACGAAGCGTTTCTCTCGCTGTAAGTTCTCTTCCTTTTTTAGATGTCGGAAATGAGGAATGAAAAAAGACTCACCTTCCTCCATTGATCTTTCTTAACTCTTTTCCTTCTCGTTTCCAAATGACTGATAGTGGCTGATCACCGACAGCTTCACACCTCACGTTGGCACTGTCACCCTTCTTAACTGTGATCACAGTGAACTTATCTTCAAAACGAGCAGGAACTAGAGGAAGGAAAAGGCTCTCTTTAGCATGCCACACTTCTCAACTATGCTTATATTTGTGTACCGTAAGAACTCCCCCCGCCACAAACGTCTGAGGCCGTCTGCTGCTATGGAAACAAGAATAGAGTATTTCAGGTAGGACAGCTTCTCTTCACACTAGACTTGACACAATAGACAGAGGAAAGAGATTCTCTCACCGATCCGAGTCAAAACTTGTCCTAAATAGTGACCCTACACTCCTACTTGAAATAGTAATACATCATTACCATAGTCACCGCCACGGATCCAGACAAATGGCTGGAGAGTTCTTACTTTAGACAAATTGCAGTTCATTCTATTTATGATATGTTTATAAACATAAATGGTTGGTTTTTACGCTTACAAAACACAGCAGATTAGAATGTGCAACAGATTCATATTATACAAAATTCTACATTTTACAAATTACAACTTAAATGCATTCATATTTTACAATTTACAAAATTTCATATTTAGAATTTGCACATATATATAACTGCACATGGCTAAAAAAATATTTACATGTCATCATTATAAATGTTTAAAAATTATCTTAAACATTTTTGAAGAAGTAAAATAAAGACGCCTCTATAGCGCATGAAATAACTATTTCATGCGCCATTGGTTAAGGCACTGTGTGGCGGCTCGAAGCACACTTCGCTTTAAATCGATGAGTCTCGGCCGATGGCAAACATTCTATCGTTGATTGCATATTGCGGTAATGCTTTGCTCATATTATTTTAAGTTAAAGAGCCGTGGTGTCTTAGGGATTAGAGCGCTCGTTTCTCTATGAGGTGACCTGGATTCGAATCCCATCTCATTGGAAGGTGAACGCTCTATCCTCTGAGCCATGGCTGCTCTATTACATTAATTGTAATAATTTTTATCTTTTAAACAGCGTAAATTTATGAATTATTGCCTAAAATAATTGTCTCACCACCCTGAAAGAGTTGCAACGCTTATTTTTTCAATGCGAGAATCCTTCGATATCCAATAAATGTAATATGATTGTGTTGAACGTCGCTTGGTTTATTTAACTTTCTGGCTTCTTCATTTTCAGTAAAATAGACGCCAAGAAGATGAAGGACTCAAATTGAAACAAATCCTACAGAACGAAATGCATCATCGCGTTTTCAAAGCAGAAAAGAGTTACGAATAGACCACAAGATTTGACAATATTCAAATATAATAGTTTGAAATTTTTTTTTAAATTTTGCTCGAAAAAGAAAGAAATTAAATATTGGCTGTTGAGTTGATATAATCTCATTGTTTCCCCAAAAATTAGGTTAATTTTACATGAATCTCATCTTAAAATATGATCCAAGAACTCTTTATAACCTTTTTTAGATTATAGATTTTTATCAGATTTTTTAGATTACAGAGATTTTTTTATTAGTATATGAGTATTAGAATAGCTATCAAATTATTAATTAATAGCATAAATTAAGATACATGTCAAAGAGGATAACATTGTAACGATTAACATTTTCCTGAGATTTGGTGAAATTGAATCGGAACAGGAGTCGAGATCTCTGGAAATTCAAACATTCAAAAACTAATCTACATAATACATAAGACTAGAAGACGTGTACCGACACAATAGAAAAATATAAAAAAAAAAATTTTATTAATCTCTTCGATGGCTTTTTATTATTAGATTAAATTCATCTCCTAAAAATAAAAATTAGGTGTTACCAGCATAATGACATGCTGTTACTCGAGCTCACCTCATGATCATCACAACTACGCAATTTTTAACGGTACTCATCCCTTTCGATGGACCATGAAAAGCCTAACTAACAGTCTAAACCTGCCGAAAAACTAAATAGTTATATATTAGTAAATATAACTACTTATATTGGTATATTTAGTTCACTATACTGCAGGGCGCTAAACTTACGCTCGTGCGAACGGGTGTTCGATTCTAACCGGCCGTGTAGTAAACGGTGACTGGTGCACGTTAAATCTACTGGGTCACAAAGTCTTCCATGTTCCCATAACAAATAATGCCTCTGTTGGCACTGAATTGGAGATCGATCATTCTCTGTTTCAGGTCAAAACCACGATCTGTGGATGAATGAACGGATGTATGAATGTGTATAAGCCCTATAAACGGGTGTGACGTGTGGATGTGTCATAAGTCAAATTCTTGGCCACTGGAAAACAAGAGAAGTCGCACCCCTTGCCTTCATAGCCTACGACAACAACAACAGTTCACTATATTTTTATGTTTAGTACCGATTATAAACAACACCAATTATCATAATATCAATAGAAATTACCACAATCTATTAAGTATTATTTGTGTCAATAATAGATGGCGAGTTGTTACCTCAGTGCGTTTTCGGTATGGATTTTTATTTTTATAGCATAACTCTTCTTTATTTCAATTACCGTTGATCATAAATCTGTGGAAACAAGTTTTAAAATTGCAACCATAAACACTTGGTTCCAAATAATGTTCGAAATACTGATTTAATGACGTATCAACTTCACGTCCATGACTGAGCTGTGAAAAAATATTCACACATTAAAGAAAGTGTAATAAAATCTTAAGCGGAATCATCTACACTTATAACAATGCGAAAAAAATTATTTTCTCATAGATCACTCCCGAAGAGACAAATTAAAATGTTAAAGTGATTGTTAAGATCGAGGGTTAAAAATTACTCCTCGTAGTAAATGTCTAAATTTCAAAATCCCAGCACTAATGATTTTGGAATTATAAGAGACTTTCCGCAACAAAGACAGACAAGTAAACACACAAGAAAAGTTTAAAACGCATATTACGCACAATGAAGATTTTTAATAGTGTAATAACATTTTAGTTATCTCTAACTTTTACGCTTATTCATAAAAACTTTGATTGGAGGTAATAAAAAAGAAAGGGGGTAAACTTTAAAAAATTCCGGATCAAATTACGGTATAAAGCATTTTGGGTGCATGACCCGAAAAATTAATTTTGACCTTAAAAATATTTAACTGATTTTTACAGTTATGTTTATTTAACTAGAGTAATTCAATGATTTTGCGGTAATTATTACTGTAAAAATTTCAGTTTAATCAGATTTTTTGTTCTGTAACATGTTCCGGAAAAAATGGATTTTACTATTAAATGTCTCTCTGAATGCCGGTAGCGTAATTTGAACCAGAATTTTTTGCAGTGTACGTAAAAGTAAAACAGAGCACAATTTTGTTTCTTGATAACTAGAAATCACCAACAGATGGAACTGTGTGTCATTTTTAAGCAAAAATATTGAAACTATAACAAAAATTTCATCAAAACTCTGTGGAAGATAAAATGGAATTGAAGAAAAAAGAAAAACAGATCTCTAGAAATTTTTAATTATTTTATAGCAGTAGTTTAATTTTTCATAAAAATACTTTTAGATTCATGAATAAAAATTTTATATTTCATGTCATTTTGCCTTGCTTTTTTAAACTTTCCTGGATGGGATAGAATATTCACCATAGCTCATTCTCATAAGCCCATTCTTTATTTCATAAAATGAATATTTATGGCTTACAAAATTAGAAAAAAATATTTATTTTAAAACCATATTTTTATAAAGTATGGAAGGGCTGAAATTTCAATGGTTTGAACAGAGACAAACTTAAATTCGTGAAAAAAAGTAGATAGTTGTTATATATTTTCAGTCATGAAAATAATATACGTATAAAAAGTTTTCTATTTGAAATTGGATTTCAAGGAAAGTTAACTTTTATTTATTTATTTTGCATGCCTTTATCTAACTCTTTATTTAGAATAACCGAGCCTAGTTTGAGATAGAAATATTAACTGTCAATGCTTTGTTTGATCTTGAATCTTGTAAAAAATAAAATATTTGTAATTATTTTAAGTGTGTATTTATAAATTAAAAGTATCAAATGTATCACATGAAAGCTTAAAATAAATTGTGTCTCATTTAGGAAATTAAGTGTCTCATACTACATATTTCATAGTATTTTTTAATAAGTTTTAATTCACACAGAATAGGGTCGAAAATATATGGTCAAAGCCATAGTAACTGATCTCCTCTTTAATATTAAAAATGATATATTTTAAAGTTATTTCCCGTTTCAAATTTAATGTAAATGCCCTTATCATTTAGTTTCTTTTATTTCATAAGTATTTAAAAACACCAGATTGGAAATGAAAAAATGTCACATTTATGAAATGATAGTAACAGAGCATTTAACAAATCAGAACGGTACGAATTGGATTTATAACGAATTTATTAGTTATAAAGATGAAACGCGTCTTAAAATCATAATAAACACACATTTCATGAGCCCATATGGGGAGGAAGCAAATAGAAAAATATACATTTCAACACCAGTAAAATAATATTAAAATGTTTGATTATACATTTTCAATCAAGAAAATTGAAAAAGAAATGCGGGCAGTCCGTGATTTAAAATTCCAAAGCACGCAAACACATTTGTAGCAAATGTTAGTTAGCAAAATGTGTGAGGGTAAAAATCTATTCAGAGAGCATGAAGATAAATACATTTTACATTGTATATATCTCTTTTACACTCTTTCATTGAAAGTTTACTTATTAACGAAAACAAAGAAGAAATGAATCAACTACTTGAAATATACCATCTGTGTAATAAATTGTAATTTTTTTATGTCTAGCCAATGATAATAGAAGATATTATAAAGATTATGAAAAATCAAAATTCAAATATATATTTTTAAATGTTTTATTTTAATGATTTTCTCCTTTTTTTCTTTAATATTTCTCATGCTTTCTCTTTATTTTTGACTTATTTTGTGAGTTCTATATAATTGCAGCTTTTGCGCAGAAAATAATACTTTTTAATTTTCATAGTTTTTTCTCTTCTCTTTTTTGTGAGATATATATTATCACTTAAGCATTTAAGCTTACTAAAGAACGAATTAATGTCGGAGCGAGATTGTGATTCTAGAAATGCTGAAATGTACGCATCAAAAATATTAAAAATTTAAAGTAAGTAAGAAAGAAAAAAATTGTAACGTTCTCTCTATCACAAAGTATACAGTCAGAAATGATGGAGTACTTCGAGACTAGTAGTAATGTGTGAATTATTATTTTTCGATTGTGTTCTCCCTTTTTCCTCCAGTTGATTGCGCATTACGAAATATGTTAATGGATAAAGAGACGCAAAATTCGAGAGCACCAGACAGTTTTACCGTTGACAGATATTTTGAATTGTTTGGCGAGGGCCTCACCCACTCCATTGTGGGCGAGGCATCTGTACAGAGCCTCATCCTCCTCATTCAGGATACTTATTATGAGTGAGCCGTTGCCAGGGGCAACCATCCTTCCTCCCGCTGAACCGATGACCTCATCTCCCTTGAACCACGTGACGCGAGGAGGAGGCAAACCGCTTGCCAGGCAGTGAAGGTGCAAGTAGGAACCGTGAGTGCCGGTTGTATCATCGGGCGCTTCAAGCCACTGAGGGGATGCTAGATAAAAATAAAAAAAAAGCAAACATTTATTATGCTATTTTAAAAATCAAAGTTTATTAACATGGGAAGGATGAAAAAGGCGAGGTTTTTTTTTTTTTAATTTCGAAAAAAAGTGGTTCAAATATACACGTTACTAACTCTGTATCAAGAATGATTAGAAATAATAGACAAAAACAATATCTCATACAAAACAATATAAGCATAGGAAAAACTATTACAATGAAATATTTTATCTATGCATATATATATATATATATCAAAAAGCCAGAAAACAAAATAAAAAATTAAATGCTATGCTCTCTTTATTAGCTCACACGATTATATTCGCAAAAAAGAGTGCTTTCTAATATTGTATAAATGTAGCCAAAGCAAAATATATCAATTCAATAGTGTGAGGAGCACTGAAAAAAAGTGAAACAAAGCACATTAAGTAAAATATATATCATGTAAGAAACAGAACAAAACACAAAACAAAATCTATGAAGCAAGTAGCGAATTCAAATAAACTTACATGTACAGGAAATTTTAAAGAATGATTTAAAATATTTTCGTAATAAGATTGACAGATTACAAAATACGAAGTCTTTTTTTGTCTTTATTGTGCTAGCTATATATACGAGGGTTGCTATTTATATTTCTGGTTGCTACTTATATTTATATTATAGCTCTCTGTTCATATGATTAAATCCACAAAAAGAGTGCTTTCTAATATTGTATTAATTTGGCGAAGTAAAATAAATCAATACGATAGTGTAAGGTAAACCAAAAAAATTCAAAAAATAAAACATTAAAAATCTAAAATTATAAAACAAAAAATACAAAATAAAACATATTGTTTATTGTTGTAATTTTTGCTTAATATGTTTTGTTTTCGTTTCAATTTTTTTAGTGCTCCTCACACTATTGTATTGATATATTTTACTTTGGCTACATTTATACAATATTAGAAAACACTCTTTTTACCCGTTATAATCACGTGAACTGACGATGAGATAATGTGTTTTGTAATTTTTTTGCTGTTGAATTTTTGAATTTTTTTTAAATATTTTTACAAATATTTAATATATTAATAAATTCACTTATTATCTTTAAAAATATGTTATTTTTCTTGTTTTCTTTGTGATAACTTATTTAATGGGTTCTATGTACTTGCAGCTTATGCACAGTAAATTTTATAAGACCTTGAGAAAACATGAAAACATAGAAAATAATAAAGATTAATGAAAAGAGAAGAAAAATAATTAAAATAAAATACTAAATTTCTTTTTTAAAAAAACTATTAAAAAGCCGGAAAACGAAATGAATAGATGCAATCTCATCATCAGCTCACACGATTATATCCGCAAACAGGAGTACTTCCTAATATTGTATCAAAGTATTAAAAAAAAGAAACAGAAGAAAATTTAAAGAAACAAACAGAACAAAACACGAAACGAAATCTGTAAAGAGAATAGCGAATTCAAGTGAACTTACATGTACTATTTATGAGTTCTATATAATTGCAGCTCACGTGCGGTAAATAAAATTTTATCTTTTATGTCTATATTGAGTTAAAAGTATTGTTCACACTTTTCTATGGGTAGTAAAAATCAAGGACATGAGGGTAATATTTTTCAACATTCAGTTGCACATTTTTTTCAATTTCCGTTGCTTGCATCTTCGAAATTTAATTTTTTGCATAACGTCCAGTTATGCTTACAACTACTTCATTTCTTAAATGCATTTTAGGGGAGGAATTATTTTCTAGAAAGATAATTTTCAATGATTACTCTTAATAATCGTTTGTATCAATGAATTAAGATACTTTAAAGTACTGTAGGGTCCCGATTATCCGAGTTAGTCGTGGTCCACACTAAACTCTAACCGAAAAAACTCGGTTAAAGCGAAGGGTATAAAAAAGGAAAGAAAAAGAGTAGGTATAAATGTATATAAATGTAATATATGATATTCTGCAAGTATAATGTAATACAAAATTTATACCACATACAATTCATATTAAAATTAAAAAGCTTACTTAAAGAGAATACTTTAAGAGAGTGAGTATTTTTTCTTAAGAAAGTGCGTAGTCGTTTTTCGTTTTACATTACTTTGGAGCTTTTCTGCAGCAATGTTTCGCCATTTTTCAGGGATAACTGGAAAGCCGCTGCCGCCTTTTCTTCTAATTCCAACAAGTTGTTGGATTTCATTTTCCTAAGTGTATGGAAAATAAAAATTCTGATATATTTTTGGTGGTAGTTTAAAAAAAAATTAGAAAAAATATCCTTGAAATATTTGATGCTCGGTTAAAGCGGTTACTGGGGTAATCGGGCTTCGGATAATCAGTACTCTACTGTACTCTCTGTATTTTCTGATACTCTACTGTATTCTCTGTTCATATAAATATCTTTTTTTTCCTCTGCGGAGTATGCGCAATTTAATAAAAAAATTATTAATCATACAAGAAATAAAAATACTGTTTTCAGTTTTTAGTGATAAGTAAGCAATGCAAATTATAAACAAAAATGTATGATGTGGAAATTTGGTTGACGTAGTTTCTGGAAATCATTGAGGAGATTTAGTCTAGAAAAACATAAGCAACTTTCAACCATGCCATTAACATATTTTAACCTTTTGTGATGAGTGATGAGTAACATATATATGTAATAAATAGTATAATAACAGTGCTGTGTCACAATAGTAAAGTGTTATAACAGTACAATAAATAACTATTTATAATAAATGAGTAAAAAAATGGCTTTGAAACAATAAATTATACATGAGACTAACAGAAAGGTAAGCAAAATGCTACTTTTTACATATATGCAATAAAAACATGGTAAAGTAATAGACAAACATATTATTATACTAAAATAAGTGGTTTTAGAATTTTGTAAAAGTAGTTGTTTACCTTCGACTGTGAGTTGCGCAGAGTGTCGAGCAGCTCCTTCCTCGTTGGATGCGATGCAAGTGTAATTTCCTCCATCATCGCTCCCAATGTTATTAACGATGAGCACCGAAAAGTCACCTTGATTTGAGATTTTATTCTTTTCGCTTATTTTCTCTCCGTTTCGAAGCCATTCGAAAGAAATGGGACGTTTTCCCTGCAATATGTTGCACAGCACTTTAGCGCTCTGTCCTTCGCTCAAGCGAGGAGGAAAATTAAAAGGTTGAATTGCAGGCACATCTGGAAAAAACATTAATATTATAAAAAAAAAACTATATTATTATACAAATATGCAATATGAAATAAATGAGATAAATAATGAATACGTGCATTATATTACATTAATACTATACAAAAAATATTGTGTCACTAATATTTAAATCAAAATATTGTATCAATATTAATTCTACGTTAAACACTTCCATTCCCACAGAATATGAATGTTTAATTGATTTAAAAATATTTAGTGAACATTGAAAAATATTTGATACTAACGACATCATGTTAATAGAGTAGTAAGGTACTTATATAATAAATAATTTAAAAATCAATGCTAAAGAAAATACTTCAAATTTTCTACCATAGACAGCGATTACTTCATTTGAGTTTAATACTGATAATGATAATCAACGTAATGTAAATATGATTTAAATAACAAGATTATATATATAATTTTTCGTATTTTTTCAGTTGAATAAAAAGAAAGATATAACAATGAGAATGGAATTTTGGAAAATAGTTTTGAAATATTTTTAATTTTTATAATTCAGCAATTTTGAAAACAAATATCTTCAGGATATCTCGATGAATACAGAAAAGAAATAACAAAACACATTTAAAAATGCGATTGCTTCGCTTAAACGAGGAGAGAAAATAAAAGGTTGAATCACATGTAAATCTGAAAGAAATTGATTTTTATTAAAAAGATTTTAAATTTGATTACTTTCATGAACATTATTTTATACTTAATATCTCCTTATTAAAATAGTTTTCACAATAATTGCGCAAAATCATTGTATCAATTTATAATGAAGCAAAAAATAGTTATAAATATAGAAATATAGCAATAATAAGCAATTAGCTGATAAATAACGCGTAGACTTTACAAAAATTAGGATTTGTAAAATTTTATATTTGTTGAATGGTTTAAAAATACTTCAAAAAAATTTCGTCCGGAAAAATTGGCTACACAGTTTGCATTTAATAACAAAACAGATTACCTGATAACGACAATTTTAATACAAAAATAATGCATTGGTTTGTAAGATTTTGATAAAGATATCATATTTGTAATTCCAAGGTGGATTTATTCCTTTAGATCTGTAACGTTTTTGAGGATAATAGCTTTGAAAAATGACTTCAAAATATGTTAGGTTTCATACTATAACAGCTATATATTAAATCAACAGCTATATATAAAATTATGTTTCAAACTATGGAATACGCTTATGAATTTTGGAAACAATTAGCTTCAGTTATTGAATAATGCATGTAAGAGATTAAAAATGTATTTTAAATTTGCGAAATCCAATATCTGGGTCGACACTTGTAATTGTCTAACAATAAATGCCATTTCAAAACTTTTCTCGAATTATAATGATAGAGTAGCACTTTCGAAATCATATTGTTTCTGAAATCACAATCAATACAAAGAAGAAAGATCAAATATTCAATATTTACAAAAAAGATAATAAGTGATTTGTACACACATCTACAGCATCTCAGAAAAAAATATATCACGTATTTAATAACAGAATGAGTATACACAATACAAGGAAACAAAAATTCAAAATAACTCACCTTGTTCTCTTATTGCTGAAATCGTCGTTTGCAGGAACAAGATCCACCAGAATGATTCGGAGAGTGTTTTAAACATCTTCATTCTAATGTGTTCTGAACATGCGGATATATATAATTGTTCAACTGATGGAACAAGAAGCGCCTCCATCAAATAATTCTTTCTAAAGACAACGGGCGCCCTACAGTGTCAGGAAATGATACTAAAATATGTATATAATTGTGACTGCACATACACTTCAGTTTTAATGTATGATACTGAATTCTTTAGGCGCTTAAAAGATGCAATTTAACGGTTTTATTAAAAAGAAACCGTACTTAATATGAAATGAAAGAGAAAAAATGTAATCCATTTGATCGGGAGTGTTTATCGGGTACATGAACTATCCTGATTAACTCGTTTAGTAAACGATAGAAATATATTTATTTATCGGTAAATTCTTTTGAATGAAAGAGACAATATAAAAAAAATTGCTGTTTGATGCAACATAGCATTTCCTCAGACAACAAGCATAAACAATAACTACAATAAAACACATATTTTATTTGAATGATACCGAAGGCAAAATAATTCACTTGCGAAATAAGTTGATAAAAGGCATTTCTTTGTCAACTCACCCAGAACAGAGAGGGTTATGGTTTTTCTTAGTTTTAAACCTACACTGTTTCTAGCCTCGCAGACATAATCTCCTCTGTGCTCATTCAGAAGGGGATTGAAATGTAAAGAGCCATTCCGAACTGTTAGTGGAGTCGACGATGAGCCTAAAAAAACAGATAGACAAGTAATAGCCTAATAACTAGCAACAAACAATGATAAACAACAGATTATGTAGGGTATTACCACCTCTATAACAAATGTCAAAAATCCTTTCCAATCCAAAATCTAGGCACATTAAGCTTAGCAAATTATTATTCAAATTTGTAAATCATTTTATTATTTTATAACCGTCGTTGAGCAGCCGACTCGATTTGGGGTTTACGACTAGCAATGTTGAACTCCGTAATTTTGAACCAATCTAGAAAACAACGAAACTCCTTGGTCAGTACCGCCCTGAGGTATGATTTGTTATGTCTTTGTGACTCGTCAGATTTAACGTAAATCAGTCACCATTTACTACACGGGGAGTCTTTGATCGGCGGGGATCGAACCCACCAACTCTTGGTCATGGACACAGTGCCTTACCAACCAGGCTCTCCCGGCCTGTTCTGGATGGTTGACTGTGCAAAGTTAAGCGTAGATTACTCTAGGGGTTAAAATTCCTCGTATGACTTCCGGATTACTATTGCAGACTGATTTTTACGCCTACACTTGTAAACATAGAAACATGGAGAACTTTGAGACTCGACAGATTTAACGTGCATCTATCACCATTTACTACACTTCTTCGGCCAGCGAGGATCCAACCCACGATCTCTGGGACATGATCTCTGAACATGGGCCCTGTATCCTACCAACCAGGCTATTTGTAAATCATTATTAGAAAACGAAGCATTTACCTTAACTCACATAATTTGAGATCGCGGTTTACTTTTGAAGAATGTTTAATAAGCGAATTCAGTCGCCAATCAAATTCGGCAGAAATTCATCGGCAAATCAGATATATCGTAAAAAGACGTAAAAAAAGATCAACAGGAATAATTTTCAGAATATCTTATGAATATGCGTGAACTCGCTAGTAATTCGAAAAGCCCCGATTGAGGAATATCCCTTATTTGAGCCGTAGTGGCTATGGGGATAGAGCCCTTGCCTCCCAATGATTTGAACCGGGTAAAAAATGTGGCAGTGGCTGGATGGCTCAAATTCTGCACCCGCCTCTCAACAACAACATGCAACTGACTGACGTAAAATATCGTCAGTGGTAGATGGATCATCGGTTAGAGTTCTCTTGCTTTCAGGCTAACCGTGGGAGTTTCATGTTTTTCCTCTCTACGTAAAGCAAAAAATACTCCACGAAAACAAATTTCTCCCTATACTTGGATCTAGGAGTTCCCTTGTCTTCTGGAATGGATTCAAAATTACAAGGATACTGAGTTGAACATTGGTAGTCGTAAACTGAAAATTTGGTCTGCTGTTCAACGACGGTTATAAAGTAAAATATTCTTTATTTCATTATACTATAAATGGTATATCGGATTCTCCTTATAATAAATCTATTTTGCATGGCACTAAATCCGTTTCGGAATTTGAAGGCAAATTAAGTATATATAAATATATATATACAGTCAAACCCCGCTATAGTGAACATGGTTTATAGTGAACTCCCAGATATAGTGAACCAAATGTTCGGTCCCTTGCCTTGCTATACACGCATAATGTCATTTTTTGTGGATATAGTAAACCAAAAAAGTGAGGAAGTTGGATATAATGAACTTTTTTCTGTCTTCGACTGATTTTTTTCTTCATTTTTTTGATATTTTCAGGGAATATAAACTATCCAAATCTGAAGTTTGTAACATATGGAAAAATAGGCAATTAATAATTTCTGCTCATGAAAAAAATTTAGATGGCAGAATAATTTGAGAAAAGCAGATCACAAGGATGATGAAGAAGCATTACTGAAGTGGTTCACTATTCGAAGAAGCCGCAATTTTCCTGTATCTGGACAAATGTGGATGAATTTGCTAAATGTTTTTATCAGACTACTTTCATGTGCTCGAATGGCTGGTTGGACAGGTTTAAGAAACGGAATAACAGAAATTCAGGAAAAATTATCTGAGAGTCGGGAAGTGTTTCCATAACTGATGTTGAGGATTGCTCATCAGCTAAAGATTACTAATTTTTTTTGTACGCAAGACGAAGAGTAATGAAAAATAACACATTTTTTGCTACAACATAATATTTTTCAGTCATTTATTTGAATAATGTGCAATAAAAGGGAGGATTTTGGGAACCACTAGGTAAATTATCTGCGTAACGGATATAGTGAACAACCGTTTATAATGAACCGAAATTTCGGTCCCTTGAAGGTTCACTATAGCGGGGTTTGACTGTATATATTTAAATAGTTTACTAATGTAATTTAATTCACCGAAATTTCAGATATTTCAAAATATTTAAGTAGCCAACGTTGCAATTAAGCTAAAATAGTATTTAAATGAACAAAAAAAAAAAAAAAAAAAAAAAAAAAAAAAAGGAATTCGAAAAATAAAAACCAAGTAATTTTAAAATAGGTAAATTCTGAGATGATGTTTTAAAAGATGAATATGAAGTACCTTCAACCCTAGACCAAGTGATGCGAGGCTCCGGATAGCCGGATGCAGCACAGTCCAGTGTTACTGCTGATCCAAGCTCCATTTCAACACTCTGTGGTTCTTTTGTCCATTTTGGTGGAGCTGAAATTTTTTTAAAAAATAATTTAATTCAGTTAATAATTAACTATAAACTTTGATATTTTTTAAGGAAAGCACCATGATAAAACTGTTTGCTTTTAGTGCAAATAAAAAATAACAGAGAGAGTAAATTTATAAGCATGCTCAATAATTTTAAGTTTTAAAACAGTCCAAACAATATCTATTAGAAATTCGACATAAAATTTCCCTAATTGACTTAAAAAAATTAATGTTTAATAAACATTCAAGTTCAATATTGCGTTTTAACTTACTTTAGTATTTTTAGTGTATTCAACAGATGATATTAGTCCACATGATATAAGTAAAACTGCAATAGACATTCGAAACCTGTGATTTTTTTTTATTATTATTTCGGGAATAAAATATTTACATTTTTAGCAATTTTTATGCAGTTTACATATTAAGTCTTATACACTTAGGTTTAAACATTTTATACACTGCTTATTGCTAGGCTTTTTTTCGCGTTATCTTCATGCAGTAAAAAATTATTAAAGATGTCTCATTAAAATGTAAAAATCCTATTCCGTAATTGAAATTGTACTGACTACACGCGTTTTTCTCCTATCTGTAATATTCTTGGAATTATTTTAAGTACTTTTTATACTAACCATTATTAAGAAAACTTTTGAAGGTATTTTGAATAAAAATACAACTAACCAGTTGTTTGGGAGATACACTGTGAAAGCCTTCACAAAATGACCAGCAATTCTATTTTAAAATGTTTGTAGTAAAATAACTAAACGAAGTGAAATTGTTTTAACAATTTAAATATGAAAACTAAAAAAAAACTTTTAGCATATTGAAAGCATTCGGTATTTCTTACCTTTTAAGACTACTAATTGCTTTTAAATTATATTAAGTACTACTGGTATAATTTATGAGATGATTTGGTTGATAAACGAAAGGAAATCAAAAGTATTCAAATCAAATAAAAAATTATTTAAATAACAATAATCCTTTTTAAATAAAATAAATCAGATTTTATTTGTTAAATTTTGATTTTTGCTTACTAATGAATTTCAACTATGTGATATGATACGGGTTATTTCAAGTTTTACAATCAATGAACAAATACTTTATGGGCACAAAATACTTTATTTTACCAATTAGAGAGAGAATTAAAGTTTGTTTTCATACCACATTGTATTCAAGATGTTTTTAAAGGCATATTCAATAACTGAAATTTATACTTCACTTTTATCAATATTTTGGGCACTTTTTATTAAAAGTGCATTGCTGAGAAAACTTTTCTAGCACTTTTCAATCAAGCAGTAAAATTCAAGTTTATAAAAGAAGATGTAAAAGATCTAACAAAATCATAAACAATTCTATTTTAAAGTGTTTTTGTGAACTTATTAAAAAATTAAATTTGATTTAACGAGCATTCAGTATGTCTTACCTTTTAAGACCAATGATGCGGTGTAAGTATCTTTGCCTGCTGCATTATTTACTTGACAGGTAAAATTTCCCCTATTAAATCCACTCAGTTGTTTCACCACAAGAATTGAAATATCAGGTTGAGTGTTTATATGGAATTGTGATCCATTTTGTATTTCTTTATTATTCAAAAACCACCGAAACTTCAAAGGGGAGTCACCTTTAGTGACGACGCAGGCCACTTTAGCATTATCTCCTTCAGACAAATTTTCAGAAAAACTAAAAGGCATTATGACTGGCGACTCCCTTGAAAAATCTATGAATAAGTAAAACATAGTCAATATTTACACAAAAAATAAATAGATAATTTTTTTAAACTCAAAAGTGAAGGGATATAATATTATATCATTTTATAATAAGCAAAAATTGCAAGGAAATGCAATCGATATTTTCCAAATTAAGTAAAAATTTAATATTCGTTTAAAGCTTTACTTTTATGTTTTAGAATATTTTTTAAATTCAGTTATTTTTCATATATCATCTTATATTGCACCTTATAAAAATATTGTGTCAATAACATGAGTAAAATTATTGTACCGATTTTCAGTGAAAATTGTTCAAATTCGTTCAGAAAGTAAAAGATATTTATTTAAAACTATTTAATTGTACTTTAGTAAGACTTGATAAAAGTATTTTCATATTGGAAACAATAATCACGGGATAAACATGTTAGTTAAGGAAAAATTTTAAAAACATTTCAAAGTATCAATAGCAATTAAATGCTACTATATTTGAATGTTGTAACAAGTCACATCTCCCGATAATAATAGGATGAACACGTTAGTTGTAAAAATCGAATGATAAATAAATATACATAATTTATGTGCGGTACTCAATTATTTAAATGCGCAACGTTTAGAACGTTATAGCTCAGCAATTTAATCACTCATGAACCACGTAATATAGAAATTCAATTAGTCAATTTGGAAAACCAATTGCTACATTGATATCGACTAATATACGAAATAAAAAATCAAAACCCTATAAAAGTTTACGACGCATGATTTGTTGAAACATTTGAAACGTCCAAGGAATAAAAAATGCTATCATACAGTTATTAACAGTGGGAACAATCACATTTAAAAAAAGGTAAAAATTCAAAATAATGAAAAACTTACCTCGTTTTTGTACAGCAAAAATCATTTGGAGGTTGATATACAGGATAATTATCTCCCAGAATGCTCGAAAGTAGTATTTAGATAGTGTTCTAAACATCTTTATATGAACATACATATGAATATTTATCGTTCAACGTTCAAATGGAATATACAGCGCCTCCATCGAATAATTCTTTTTAAAGACAACGGGCGCCCTACAGTGTCAGGAAACGATACTAAAATTTGTATATAATTATTACTGCACATATAATCCAGTTTTTAATGTATAATACTGAAAAAGAACTATTTTGATGTATTTTAAAAATGCAATTTATTATTTTTATTAAGAAGAAACCATGCTGCTTACTCAACATATAATAAAGAAAGTATGGGATCCTCTTAGAAATATTCATTTGGTATATAAACTCTTTTGATTAGTCCATTTAGAGCACCAAAGAAATTTATTTACAGTACGAACAAGAAAATTTTGTACAAGCACTTATAAAATAACATAACGTAATATAGCATTTCCTTGGATAACAAACATAAACGACACCATAAATCTTTAAATACAGGTTTTATTTGGTGGAAATCTAAAATAAAATTACTCGAAATACAAGGAAATAAGTTTAAAATGGTATTTCCTTGTCGACTCACCCAGAACAGAGAGGGTTATGGTTTTTCTTAGTTTTAAACCTACGCTGTTTCGGGCCTCGCAGACATAATCTCCTCTGTGCTCATTCAGAAGGGGATTGAAATATAAGGAGCCATTCCGAACTGTCAACGGGATGTCGGCTGATGAAGAGCCTAAAAAACAGATTTAAAAACAAATCATCAACTCTTATATCACATAAATAAAAAGCCCACCCTCCTGATTTACGCAGAACAAGATAAATAAATAAAACTTCGAAATTAGCTTACAACTGCATAAACAATCACGACAAAACACAGCTTATGGAATAAGAACCATAGAACCGTCTTTATATACAATAGGATGTACGCTACTTTAAGTTTGAAAAACATTGTTCCATAATTTTCATGCTCTTCTCCTAAAATTGTTCGTTTTGAACTTTTTAACTTTTCAACTTAAAGTTTAAAGTGAAACGGAAGAAATTAACCCTTGCTTCAACCAGAATTTTCGATTTTTATTAGTAGTAATATGGAACAAACGAAGTACAGAGTATTATTAATTAAACATTACATTTAATGTGTCACCAACTCATAACCACTGAGTTGACAAAAATCGTGGGATGGAAATATGCAAAAATAAAGATGGTTGTAGCATCAGATTGCAAAATGTGTGCATGAGAAGTGCACTGGCCGGTCTTTTATTTCATCCAAAAAGCTTCGGATGTGCAGGACGAGAATTAACAGACTTGGAATGGTAGTTGGAACAAGGCTCATGGAACATTCCATTTCGGAAATCGGGAGGGAATGTAACATTCCTAGATGTAAGAGTCAGGAGTGTGGCGTGAATACCTAATTTCAGACATAACCTCCCACAATGAACAACGTAGTGGTCGACCACTTGCATTCAATGACAGAGATCACCGAAGTGTGCATAGAATTGTCAGAGTTAATAGACACGTAACGTTGAGTGAAAAAACAGCAAGAATCAATGTGGGTCGTATAGTTGACATGTCCGTTAGGACAGTGTGGTGAAATTTGGTTGTAATGGGATACGGTAGCAAAACGCCTTTAATAACAGCATGATATGTCCGGTACCTCTCCTAGGCTAGTGATCTTATTGGTTGTACCCCAGACGACTGAAAAACTGTAGCTTCGTTACATAAATTACGAATTTAGCTGGTCAGAGCTGATTGAAGAGTTCGAGCGTAGCGCAGACCCCACAAAGTCAAGGACCCAAGTTGTCAACAAGACACTCTGCAATTTGGTGGCAGCTCCATAATGGTGTGGGAAGCTCTTCCATGGCATTTTTCTATGGTCCAATTTCATCGATCATTAACTGGAAATGGTTATGTACAGCAAAATGAAGATCACTTGCATAATGATTTATGGATTTCATGTACCCAAACAACGATGGAACTTTTATGGGTGACAAAGTGTCATGTCACAGGGCCTTAATTGCTCGAGACTGGTTTTGAAGAATATTTTGAAGAATTCCAACCAATGATTTAACCACCAAGATTGCCCGACATGAGTTACAAAGAAACGGATTACGGAATTTAGCGGATCGAGCAGATTGCGGAAATTTATTGACTGAATATTCCTACAAGAAACTTCTAACTACTTATTGAATCTATGCAACGTCGAGCTGCTGCACTTCGTAAAGCTAGTGGAGGTCTAGGTAGAGGACACGATATTAAGAGGTAACCCATGACTTTTGTTACCTCAATGTATGCATTCCTATTTCCGCATGGTTCACACAGCAGGACTGAAAAATGGTCAGGTTATTTTCCTAACGTTATTTGTTTTGAAATTTGAGTATAATTTGCGATGATCTCGCACATAACGAAAAATAAAATTTTTTATTCTCCATCAACACCCAGACTTGAAATAATATAATAACTCTTTCAATACCACCATTAACTGAGTTTAACATAACAGTTTTTCTTTTCACATTCAATTCTAACACATTAATTTGCCAGGTTGAAAAGTATTTTTGAAAAAATAAAAAATCAAGTGTCCGTTTGTAATCGATTGAAAAAGTTTCTACTCTAACATAAAGTAAGTCAAAATCAATCAAAATGTTTTTTTCCGAAATACAATAATAAAGAGGCTAAAAGGGTAACTACAAATATAGCAACCCTTTACAATAATAATAGAAATTACAGTAAACTTTGGGCAATTAATACATTTCTGTTCCATCTGCAGACATTTCCGAACTAGAATAATCAGCATTTTTGAGTTTTCATGTATATCAACGACTTCAGTAATAAAACAATCGATTCCTTAGATAAACACTATTATTACTGCTTAAATCTTTTAATTCTGCGCCAGAAATCATTTCGCCTGTTCTTTCATACTATTTTAAAATGTTAAGGTGCTTTTAAAGTTGCATTGAATTTTGGCATGCATAGTATCGTTTATACTACAAAGTTGCAACAATGAAATGCCACTTAAAACTTAGTCTCACAGATCGTAAAGACGTGATAGAACAACAAAATCAAGCATCTCTGGCTGCGAGCATTATATGAATGGGTGATCATTTGGATCAGCTTGCCGTAGAGACAGAGGGTGAGCGGTATCGGTTCTCGTTTAACTCTTCTACCATAAAGTGCTCGACTTGCCACTCGGGTCTTCGGGCTACCAAAGCGGGGGAGCCATCCCCTCTGCAGAGGAACAAAATTGAGATGGCATGTTTTCAGGTCATCCTCGGGGATGCTTCCTAGACAGTTTAAAATAGTCCACTATGCAGCAAAAATGTGTGACATGAATAAAGTATTTAACTACCTTAAAACTTAATCGCGTTCTACAGATTGTTAAGATCTCAACAAAAGTTTTAAGGTGCAAACTACCCTTGCTATCCAACTAACTTTATGTAACGAGATGATATCTTCCTTTTCAGTATGTCGATCAAAATTTAGGTAAGTATTTTTAGGTTATTTTCCTGAAATTGGTTAGCCTAATTATCTTTTCAAAGTGATTTCCATCTTTATTAGTACTATACTCATTCAAATGTGGTTATACATGTTCCTTTTACTTTCTTTAATCAATAGAATTCATGACTTTTCAAATTTTTCTCAATACATGAAAAAGCGGAATGACAAGACTAATTGCTATGCCACATAATAGTTCGTAGTCATGGACAAAGAAATTTAAGCGACAAGGTTTTGACGCAGTTGTGTTTCTGAGCAAAATCAGGAAGTCATCTATCTGTTCTTCATTCCAGTCAAATTAAATTTTTTAATTTTTTTAAAGATTTTTCCAGGAAGCACACAAGTGAACTAATTTATTTCCGCCATATAGCTTAGGTTTTGTGCAATTCTCGCTTTTTTCCCGAAATATTTCGAAGTTAGATCAGCGCTCTCACAAAAATTGAGTTATAATCCCCCAAATCTTAAAATAAAACAATATTTGCCTTATCATTGGAATTTTTTTCTGTTATTTAGTGAATGATATATCCTTCCATAGATTATTATATATTCTGGCATAAATACGCTACGGAACTGCGTTATCCTCGAGTTTTAATTTCAGAACAGAGGATCTATAATGATAATCATATAACTTTAATGAAACCCAGGGCAAAGTGTAAATAATAGCCAAGTGCGTCAAATTTTAAAACTACAATCAATATCATGTCTGGCAAAAAAGCAATGACTTAGCACATTTGGACTTTCATTTGATAAAAAAGAACTGCAAACTAACAGCCGGAAACCCCGAAAAGGGTTTTAGTTTTACGCATTTCTTCTTGAAGTCGGTTATAAGAGATTTATCATTTCAAAAATTTAAAAGGACTGATTTTGCAGTAAATGGAACCAAACTACGGAGCGAACATTTTTTTTTATAACCGTCGTTGAACAGCAGATCCAATTTTTGGGGTTTACAACTACAAATGTTCAACTCCACAGCCTTGTTATTTTGAACCCCATCCAGAAGACAAGGAAACTCTTGGACAAAGTATTGGGAGAAATTTGCCCTTGTGGAGGACGTTTTGATGGAACTAACACACATTTGCGTTAAATGGAGAGGAAAACCACGAAAACCTCCCACGGCTAAAAGGGACATGATCCGTCTACCATTAATGACATTTTTACGTCAGCACTGTGGTCGGTGCAAGGCGGATTTAGAATTCGTATCGACCAGTCATCGCTGGGATTCGAACCCGGCTCACCTCATTGGACGGCAAACGCTCTATCCCCTGAGTCATCACGGCTCTAAGGATAGAATTTAAAATTTTAAAAGTTGAAAAAGAATGAACACTAACATAAATTTGTTTGGAATTCATGTTTTCAATTGAAGTCCGAAACCTATGCACTATTAAACACCGCAAAAGGTTTCAGGGTGAAACTCAAAAATTTCATCTTCAAATTAATTTGTTAAATAGTACTTTAATGTCTCTTTTGCTTTTACTATTCTCACAAACGAATAATTCTAAGAATTTTTTTTTCGATGAGTTCAATTCAAATTTTGTTTATTTTCACTACAATATTTGTGGAAAACGGGCTATCGGGATAAGATTTTATGCGTACGTGGAATCAATTTCGTTAACGAATAGAGCAGGGTTACTGGATTTTCGCCAAATCTGAAAAAAAATCGAATTGATTTTATTTACTTATTTGTTTATTTAATTTGAACAACTAAAAAAATCAGCTTTTTTTAGAAAATCAAAATTCCTCAAAAAACTGCGAAAAAAATGAAAAGAACATTATCTTTTCTGTCAATGTGATTGGTAGCTTCAGAAAGCAATTTTCCTCTTTCGATACATTTTGAAGCATCAGCTTCAAAGTTAAGAATTATTTAAAACAATTATTTCCTGGCTTCTTGGATATTAACTATTATTGTATATGAACACTATTAAATACTTTGATACAACATCGATATATACAAATGCAAAGTTACCAATTTTTCCACTACTGTTATATTCTTACGACTATTTTCTTAAAAAATCTAACGCAATATTAAGAAATGTGCCTTATTTTCCGAAGATTTATCCAAATTTATGGAAAATGGCTATTCTAATGCAATTTAAACTACATATAGTATAAATTAGAGTACAATTTGGGGGAAAATGTCTAATTTTGAAGTAAATAGGGAAAAAAAACAATAACATCACTATATTTAATAACAGTTTAGCTGGTTATGTTATATATTCTACGGAGACAGAAATAGAAATTTTGTTCCAAAAGATCAGCATAAAGTACCTTTTATCCTCGACCACGTGATCCGGGGCTCCGGATAGCCGGATGCAGCACAGTCCAGTGTTACTGCTGATCCAAGCTCCATTTCAACACTCTGTGGTTCTTTTAACCATTTCGGGGGAGCTGAAACATTTTAAAAAAATATTTTATTCTACAAATAATAAATTTTAAGGCGTTTTTTGAACAAGAATTATAATGTTTCTTGTTCAGAAAACGCCTTACTAATTAATTTAATGTGATTACAATTTTAAAGAGAATACAAGTTTAAACATGGTCAACATTTAGTGTACAGTACAAAAATCTATCAGTTATTAATCGGTCATATAATTATTTCTCTATTTGACTTAAGAATTTTATTTATAATTACAATCATGTTCGCTTTAAATCTAATTTCTAATATATCAATTTAACAATATGTTAGTTCATTTCATTCTAGCTAAGCTCACAAATACTGAATATATTCAAATTCAAAAATTGTTTTTAATACTTTAGGCGGATAATTTCTGTTTTATCAATTTATTTAATACATTATGCTTTGTACAGTACATATTGCAAGGTTATTTTTATTTTGTTTTAGATATTTTTAATATTACACGAAGTAAAACTATAGAAGACACCATATTAAAAATACAACATGGAATTTAGAATTTTAAGTGAACTTTATTTATTAGTAATCTTTTCTTTATTTTAGGCTCACTAAGTATTGTTAAGAAAAATTATCCATCACATTTTTAATAAACTAACAAATAGCCGAATTATAAAAAAAGAGTTGAAACACTTTTTCTCTAAGAATGCTTGAATAAAGTTATTAAAAGAAGCAAAATTAGTTTCAACTAAAAAATAATAGAAGTAAAATAAATGTAACATTTTTCGCAAGCCGTTACCGTTTCTTACCGTTTACCACCAATGATGCGGTGTGCGTGTCTTTGCCTGCAGCATTATTTACTTGACAGGTAAAATTTCCACTGCTGAGTCCTGTCAGTTGTTTTACCACAAGAACTGAAATATCAGGTTGGGTACTGATGTGAAATTGTGATCCATTTTGAATTCCTTTATTATTCAAAAACCATCGAAACTTCAGAGGGGAGTCGCCTTTAGTGACGACACAGGGCACTTTAGCATTGTCACCTTCAGACAAATTTTCAGAAAAACTGAAAGGTACTATGACTGGTGGTTCACCTAAAATGTCGATACTTTAATAAAGCACTCGAGTCAATAGTTACTACAAAAAATACAAGCAATAGTTAAAAAAAAACAATACAATCAGTTGAACAATAAAAATAAGACAAACAATAATAATTATTTTAAAGTATAAGTTGGTGAATTAGACTCTAAAGTATGAGGTTGAAATATTAATTTTTTTATCTTAAACAAAAATTGAGAAAGATAAAAGAACAATGCAATCATTATTTTCAAAATTGTGTAAAAATTAAATATCAGTATCCACCACTTCCAAAACAAAGCTATATTAAAACAATAATAAGTACCTAAATAAAATAAAACACACTTTTAAGAATTTTTATTACTAAACATTTCAATGCTTTGCAGGAATAATCTTTTATTATTAATAATTATAAATCCTTTAATATTTCGATTGTTACTATTCTATTATAATTTACTAATAATAATTACTTACAAATAGGCAGAAAACTTCTTTCTCTAGTTAAATCGAAGCTATTTTCTCATTATACAAATGTAATTCCCAAATATATTAAAAAAGGTAAAAAATAGAATTCTATCTAAAACAGTAATTATTTTCGAAAAATTCTATTACTTTACCGTTTTTGTATTTAAAAATTGCACCAAAAAAACCCTTTGAGCAATAGAAAAATTTAGAAATATTTCTAAGTTTCAAAGGCAGATAATAACTACTCCATTTGAATTTTGTAACTAGGCAGATTTCCAGATTACAAGATCAACGAAACATTTTTAAAATGCAAATAATATGAACATCTTAGTTTGCGTGTGGTACATATTCACTTAAATTCACTACATGTATGAAAAATTAGTTCCTTAGCAGTTTTGAAATATTCTTAAATTTATTATAGCAATACTAAGGTTATTGGACAGTTTTGAAAACCAACTGTTTCATTGATCACGATCAATTTTACGAAATTAAAGATCAAAATTTAAGATAGTTTCAAACTTGCTAAGAAATCAAAACGCAGTGAAATACAAAAACGTAAGAAACGTTAGATTTACGAAATGTATTACTTGGTTTGTCTAAATACTAAATAAGGCAAATAAGTAAAACAAAATTGCTAACATAAATATATAACAGTAGAAGCCATCATATTACAAGAAAAAAAAAATTCAAATTAATGGATTACTCACCTTGTTCTCGTATTGCAGAATTCATTTGGAGGTTGATGGACAGGATTATTATCCACCAGAATGAACGGAAGTAGCATTCAGATATTGTTCTAAACATATTCTTACCAAGAGTTATTAAACATGCGAATATGTATAATCGTTCAACATTCAACTGGAATAAGCAGCGCCTCTCTCAAATAATTCTTTCAAAAGACAACGGGCGCCCTACAGTGTCAGGAAACGATACTAAAATACGTAAATAATTATAACTGAATATACATTCTAATATATGATACGGAAACGGAATTCGTTCAGCAATCAAAAAATACAATTTTTTATATACAGAAGTGTGTTGTACTGTTTACTAATTGCAGGATGAAAGATATAAAGATGAAATTCTTTTAGTCAGAAATTGAAACGAGTTCTTTATCGTTTGTTACTGAAAGTGAACTCATTTACATTAATTGTGAAGTTTTAGCAAATGGCTGTTCAAGAGCGCATAAAAAAACACTTATAAAACAATTCCTCAGACAACAAGCATACACAACACCTTAGGTCATTAAATGCAGTGTCAGGTTTTATTTGTTGAAAACTTTTTCTTTTAATGGCGGACGCTTGGGTCTATTTTCCATCGGCCTCAGAAACACCAGAATTGTTACTCTCTTACCGTTACCCGGTGGACACCTGTAACTAAGTCACGGTGATCAGGTAGCGTCGCCCCCGTCATACAACCACAAACTCGTTTATAGGGAGGGTTACAGTCACACAGAAGAAAGGACACAGAAAGTGACATCCTTGCCTACTGTTGGATTCGAACCCACAACCACTGGGCCCATTAGCCCCTTACAGTAACCACTAGACCAGTGACCCGCATTTGTAGGAAATCAAAGACACAATAAATCACACGAGAAGTATTGAATGAAATTAGTTGAAAAACTCACCCAGAACAGAGAGGGTTATAATTTTTCTTAGTTTTAAACCTACGCTGTTTCTGGCCTCGCAGACATAATCTCCTCTGTGCTCATTCAGAAGGGGATTGAAATGCAAAGAGCCATTCCGAACTGTCAGTAGGCTATCTACCGACAAAGAGCCTAGAAAAAACAGCCAAATAAATTGTTTTAGTAGTTTTTATAATAATTTTTTTATAATAAAATATTATTTTAATAATCAATATTTAATTAATAATTAACAATTTTAATAATTTAATAACTAATCCATTAAAAATAATTGTTTTAAGAATAAAATTCACTTCACGTAAAACTAACTAAAATAACATTTAAAATAAGCTATTAACAATTTTGATAAACTATGATCTACGTTGTTCCGTACTATTCTTTAATAACTAAGTTAAAAATAATTATAGAACTCTTTTGTAACAAAATTTTTTAACAAGTGTGATGTTGTGTTATGTTTAATTTGAAAAAAATAAGAAAAAAAGAATGAGATTGTGTAAATTAGGATGCAAATGAAATGCCGTATAGATATTTTTATTTATCTGACAGAGACAGCTACACTTATTATTTATGGTTAATTAGTTTCGCTTTATCAAAACGGAATGGAATTTTACTTGGTATATGCAGTAAAATGTTTTTGCTCTTTAATAAAAAATTTAAAAAATACATTTATTAGCGTGTTTTATTTGAATTATTTATTAATGCAATTAAATCAACCAAATTTTTAGTAATTTATGAAATTCGATTGGCTCTTCACTTCTAAAAAATAAAGGAATATAACAAAATGTATTTTAAAGTTCCGAATTTCTATTTTACATTTTCTTATCATATTAAGATAAACAAAATATTAATTATAATTTTAGGAGGGGGCAAATAACTTCAGGTTCACATACGATGACTTTAGGTTTTAACAGTGTAAAAGAACGCTAATATTTCGAAAGGTAAATTGAAATATTTATATTCTTTTCTATTCTAAAGTTGAAGCACATTTTGTGATATTATGTTCTATTTAAATACAATAATGAATAGATTTAANTTCTTAGTTTTAAACCTACGCTGTTTCTGGCCTCGCAGACATAATCTCCTCTGTGCTCATTCAGAAGGGGATTAAAATGCAAAGAACCATTCCGAACTGTCAGTGGAGCCGACGAGGAGCCTAAAAAAACAGATAGAGAAATAAATATTTTTAATAGTTGATTTCCTAAATCACATTATTAAAATAGAACCAGCTACACAAAGGTACGTTTAAAATTAGCTTAAAACTTCATAAACAAATACGAGAGAGAATAAAATATGCAGCATGTTCTATAAAAGAGTATTAATTTTTTTAATAAAAGCTAAAAAAAGTATTTTCACTAGTGTTTAACTATGCTGTGTTTAAAATAATATCGACATTTTGTAAATCGTGAGTCACTAAGAAATAGGACATGATTTAAAACTTAATCTTTTTTAATTCACTCACTCTTTGAACCTAGATAAGGTTACAACACCAAATATTTATGCTTCATGAAACCGCAGTAGTGTTTAATTTGATAGAAACTGTAAATTATGTTTTATTCATTTACTTGATTCGATTTTAAAAAAAAATTTAAAAATGTAATTTAAACGCATATTATTTTTACATATTATTAATTAATTAAAATAAATCCAAACATTAAAAGTGAATTTCTAAAAGCATTTTAGACGTTACTTATCAATTAAACAAAGAAAATTTATACAAAATAACTGTTTGTTAAAATAAAACAAAAAAATAATATCAAATATTGTAAAAATGTATCACTCCAAAATTCATTTGTAATAGTAGTAGATTTCTAATATGAAATTCCAAGTAATTAAAGTACCTTCCACCCTCGACCACGTGACCTGGGGTGCCGGATAGCCGGATGCGGCACAGTCCAGTGCTACTACTGATCCAAGCTCCATTTCAACGCTCTGCGGTTCTTTTGTCCATTTCGGTGGAGCTGAAACAATTTTTAAAAATATTTTTGTTCAGTAAATAATGAACTTTAAAGTTTGATATTTTCAATTACAAATATATATATATATCATATGCATAGATCGGATAACTAAGTATTTTTAGTGTAAATAAAAAAGCGAGAAAAAGGGTAAGTTTTAGTAAACTCAGTTTTTGGAATTTAAAAACAGACCAAATAATTTTATATAGTTGCTTTTATTGTTTTTTTCGTACCTAAGTATTTTTAGTGTGAAAAAAAAGTTTAATATAAATGAAAAGTTTAGAGAAAGAGTTAATTTTTTAAACCTTCAATAATTTTGTCTTCTTCAATTAAAAAAAATGCATCTTTGATTATTGTGTGAATAAAAATTGAAGTGAAATGCAAATTTTTAAATACTCAACGATTTGGGATTATAAACTGTCCAGAAATCTTCTAGCAACCGTTCGTAATGTATATTTAATGGACGTAAAAACAATTTTAATATGCTCAAGTGAAACTTCATTTGATTTAAATTATACAGTAGATAACATTATGATAACTCAAATACTGAACAGATTGGAAATGGAAATTTTTTTTCCAATGCTTTGGACATTTTTTATTAATTTATACATGTTTCATAAGTTACACTTTTTAAATTTCATTTTATAACCGTCATTGGGGTTTATCATTGCCGTTTTGGGTTTACAACTATCAATAGTGATCCACGTAGGCTTGTAATTTTGAACTAATTGGCATCTGTGTTACACGGAGAGAAAAACCACGAAAACCTCCCATAGTTTGCCTAACGGCAAGAGGACTCTAACCCATGATCCGCCTATCACGGAGGATATTTTGCTTCAATACTGTGGCCGGTGTGAGATGGGTGTGGAATTCGTATCGAGTTGGGATTCGAACCTTTCACACCTCAATGGAAGGCGAAACCTCTATCCCTGAGCCACCACGCCTAACGTTATTTTTGAAGCACTGATATACACAAGCATTTACCTTTTACAATGTTTGAGAAAATTAATTAAAACAATTTGATTTTAATCAAAAACTGCTAACACTTGAAACATTAAAAAGATTTTTGCAAGCAACCAGCGTTTTATATTTCTTACCATTAATCACCAGTAATGCTGAGTGTGCATCTTTGCCTGCTGCATTATTTACTTGGCAGGTAAAATTTCCACTACTAAATCCACTCAGTTGCTTCACCACTAGAATTGAAATATCAGCCTGTGTGCTGATGTGGAATTTAGATTCATTCTGTATTTCCTTGTTGTTCAAAAACCACCGAAATTTCAAAGGGGAATCACCTTTAGTGACAACACATGCCACTTTAACATCATCCCCTTCAGATAAAATTTCAGAAAAACTGAAAGGCTGTATGACTGGTGGTTCACCTGAAAAATTTGTCTTTCAGTAAAAAAACTCGAACCAATTTTTACACGAAAAATACAATTGGAATAAATTTTTAAAGCATAGATTTAATGTATTAAACTCAAGGAATTAAATATAGTAACTTGAAATGAAAAGCAATAGAAACAAACATTGCAATCGATATTTTCAAGACTAAACAAACATTAAAAACGTTAGTTTACACTAAATATCGTTAACCGTCGTTAATTTAGTTTAACGTTAGTTTAAACTAAATTAAAAACGTTCTTAAAATAAGTAAAATTAAACGAAATAATGTATTTACAAGATAACTTTGAGTGATCATCATTATTGATTCTAGGGAGATTCTTAATAAAAGCTAGTTAAAGCGAATTTTATTTTCAAAGTGAAACATAAATGTCTACACGCTAGGCGAATAGAAAAGTTCCATTTTTTATAGTAACAGTTGAAGTCCTTTATTTTCACTCATATAATTTAATATTGCATTTGTTACACCCATAAACATAGTGCATATATTATATAGGTTTAATTATTCTATATATTTCAATTGAAATATTAGTTAATACAAAATGTGAAACATACATTAGTTTGAGATTATTACATACATTATGAGAAGGCGACGATAGCGTGTAACTTTTTAGCTAAGAATTTCAAATCTTTCGGCTCCTACAGTAAATAAGTAAATATGCCGTTTGAATTTTATTACTAAGTAGATTCGCTGATAATAACAATTTAAATAAAATTATCAAAGAAGTAATAATAAGATGTTAATAATATCAGATTTGCAATTTTCGTGTCAGAAAAAGTGATCTTATCATGACTAACAGAAGGAATATGTACATTATGAAGAAATAAAAAATCGAAATAGTTTATAACTCACCATGTTCTCGGGCTGCAGAAATCGCAAGAAAGTTGATGTGCAAGAATATTATCCACCAGAATAAATTGAAGTAGCCTTTATGTAGCATTCTAAGCATCTTCATTCCAAGAGTTATGAACACATTAATATGTATAATCGTTCAACGTTGAACTGGAATAAGAAGCGCCTCCATCATATAGTTCTTTAGAAAGACAACGGGCGCCCTACAGTGTCAGGAAACGATACTAAAATACGTAAATAATTATGGCTGAATATACATTCTACTTTCTAATATATGATACGGAAACATAATTCTTTCAGCACTTAAAAGATATAATTTACCTTTTTTTAATATGGAGAAGTGTTTATATGGAGAAGTGTTTATACTGATTACTAAACACAGGATGAAAGAGAGAAAAGATGAAATCCTTTAAGTCAGAAATTGAAACGTGATCTTTATCGTTCGTCAGTGAAAATGAATTACATTGTGAAAATTTAAGAAATTCGTTGTACAAGAAAGCACCAAAAAAACACACATATAAAACATTTCCTCAGACAACATACAATAGGTCAATGAAAGCAGTGTCATATATGCTGGAAACTTTTTTTTTAATGGCGGGTACTTGGATCTATTTCCCATGGGCCTCAGAAATACCAGAGTTGCTACTCTCTTATTGTTATCCAGTGGGCACCTGCAGCTAAGCCACGGTGGTGGAATAACGTCGCCAGCGTCATACAATCACAAACCCGTTTATAGGGTGAGTTACTATCACACAGAATAAAGGATATAGAACACAGATAGAGAGAAATTACATCCATGCCTACGGTTGGATTCGAACCCACGACCACTGGCCCCTTAGTCCAGTACAGTTACCACTAGACCAGTGATCTGCATTTGTTAGAAACCAAAGAGACAATAAAATCTCAGGAGATTCATTGAATGAAATAATTTGTTAAAACTCACCCAGAACAGAGAGTGTTATAATTTTTCTTAGTTTTAAACCTACGCTGTTTCTGGCCTCGCAAACATAATCTCCTCTGTGCTCATTCAGAAGGGGATTGAAATGCAAAGAGCCATTCCGAACTGTTAGTGGGCTATCTACCGACAAAGAGCCTAGAAAAACAGACAAATAAAATATTTTAATAGTAATTAAATTATTTTAATAGTAGACAAATAAATTATTTTAATAATTTTGATAATAAAATAATAATCAATACTTAACTGATAATGAACAATTTTAATAATTAATCCATTAGAAATAATTATTGCTTCAGTAATAAAAATCTCCTCACACGCTTCAAGTAAAACTAACTAAAACATTTAAGCTTTTTTAACAATTATGATAAAATATGCTCTAGGTTGTTCCGTACTAGCCTTTAATAACTAAATTAAAAATAATTACCTAACATTTTTGTAACAAATTTTTTTAACAAGTGTTATGTTTAATTTGAAAAAAAATGTGATTATGTAGCTTAGGATGTTATTGACATTCTAAAAAGATTATTTTATTTAACTCACTGAGACCCCTACACTAAATATGTATGCATAATTAGTTTCGCTTTATCGAAAGTTCCAAGAGTTTAACCTGGTATATGCAGTAATATGTTTTTGTAATTCAATAAAAGTTTTAAAAAAATACATTTATTAATGTGTTTTATTTGAATTACTTATTAATGCAATTAAATCAACCACATTTTTAGTCATTTATGAAATTCGATGGGCTCTTCGCTTCTAAAGTATAAAGGATTATAGCAAAAAATATTTTTCAGTTCCGAATTTTTATTTAACATTTTTTTATCATAATAAGGTAAACAAAATATTAATTATAATGTCAGGAGAGGGCAAATAACATACGATGATCTCAGGTTTTACTTGAGTAAAAGAATCAAACATTATCAAACATCGAAAATAGGATGAAACATTGTTATCTTATGGTCTATTGAAATGCTAAATTTAAAAATTTATGTTCTCTTAGGAACAAGCATATTGTTAAACAAGTGTTAAACAGGCATAAGTAGGAACAAGCATATTGTTATATTGTGGCCTATTTAAATACAATAATGATTAGTTTTACTAAATATTTAGAATTAAAAAAAATACGAAATTTGATCCAAGTGCAATGCAATACTGCATTAAATCTTAGCTTCAAAGCTGTTTTAATTATGTAAACTAAGCACAAAAAAATTATTGAAAATAATCTAATATTAACTATAAAAAAGTATTTAATTCTTGCAGGCAAAATCTCAAATTTATGGCAAGAAACACAAAAATGTAAAGTCATTAAATGTAAGCAGGAGAGCGTGTACCATAATATAAAACAATTAAAATACTCATGAAAATATTATCTAAATAGATATAAAATTAAATACTACAAGATTCCACTTGATTTTTTTATGTATTAAGTAAATATAAATGTAGAAGCTTGTAATATATATTCTAAGATTTTGACAGAATTGCGCACTCAAAAGAAAAACAATGATTTTCAGAATAACAGAATTACATAATATTTAAAGATATTTAAATTTTCGAGAGCATGGATTTAGCGTCATTTTCAGAAAACCACTTCTGTTGATGTGGAGTTCTAAGCAAATAACTTGCATGTTCTGTATCTATTGGAATCCCCAAAAATCGAGAATTTCAGCGAGGGTAAAACTATACAATTTCTTATAGCGTATTTTCAGAAGCTAATAAGCAAAGGTCCGTATGTGTGGACAAAGGTAATGAAGAAGCTAAACATAAGGAAACTTTAAGTACAAGGATCAATGACAAATATTACAATCGACATTGATTTGAATTGAATTTGAAATGAATTTTAAGTGACACTATAAAAGTAGCTTCATTCTAAAATAAAGTTCCAAAAGATTTATATGAAGCACCTTTCATCCTTGACCACGTGATCCGGGGCTCTGGATAGCCAGATGCAGCACAGTCCAGCGTTACTGCTGATCCAAGCTCCATTTCAACACTCTGCGGTTCTTTTATCCATTTTGGAGGAGCTGAAACATTTCATTAAATATTTTCTTTCAGTAACTTAAACCTTTGTTTTTTAAAAAAGAAATAAAATGTCATTGTTGATAACCTGAATAAGAATGAATTTGCCAATAAGAATTATAAAGCAATCTATTAGCCTCACCAACGCGAATAATTATATATCAATTAAGCATGCATATAGGAATGACTTTATTGCATCAAAAGAGGTTTACGAACAAAAGAGATAACGAAAGAGGTTTGAAAATAAACGAAATCAATGATTTTTCATCGACTGTTTTTGGCTCTAAATCTTTTTTTTTTTTTTTTTCATTTTACCAATTCGAAAGAGAAGTGTTTCGTTATTTTTATATACTACGCACTGTATTCAAGATGCCTTGAAATGAAACTTTTGTAGGTGAAGTTTAAATTTCGCGTAAGTTTCATAATCTCTAACATTTTCATTACTTCAGGCACTTTTGATAGTAATCATGGCTGAGTAAATTTTTGCATCACTTTTTAATCAAAAAACAAAAACAGTTAACGAAATTCTGGGGGATTTTATTTTAAAATGATTTATCTAACTCATTTGGAAATGAATTTTGACAATTGTGAAAAATAAAATTTCTAGTGAAAAGTATCCACAGCACCTGTCTAAAGACGCAAAATGAGATTTTATGTAGAATCTTAATCATCAGGGGATTCTATACAGCATTATTGTTTTTACAAGACAAAAACCGGTTTACACTTGTTTATGTTTGTCTATCAATTGGTTAACATTGTAGCGCAATACGTTAAAAATAAATACAAGTAGGAAGTGTAGAAAAAACTGAATAAAAACGCATTTATGAATGTTTAAATACAAAAGTATTCCATATAAACTCGTGCAAAAACATGCAATTATTAACAAACTACAGTGCGTCTAATCATTTGATCCAATTTTTATAATATAATACCTAAAATAATATATATTCTATATTTATATAACATATCGTCTAATTTATCCAATTGTCGAATTTATATTATATATCGCTTAATTAGACCAATCGATGCACGAACGATAAGCAAGGTAATATAACAAACGTTCTATATTTCTTACCGTTTACAGCCAATAATGTAGTGTATGTGTCTCTGCCAGCCGCATTATTTACTTGGCAGGTGAAATTTCCTCTGCTAAATCCACTCAGTTGTTTCACTTCTAGAACAGAGATGCTAGCTTGAGTGCTGATGTGGAATTGGGATCCGTTTTGTATTTCTTTATTATTCAGAAACCATCGAAACTTCAGAGGTGAATCCCCTTTATTTATGATGCATCCTAGCCTAGCCTGATCACCTTCTGATAAATTTTCAGGAAAACTGAATGGCTGTATGATGGGTGGTTCACCTGAAACATATATGTTTTAGTATTAAAGCACAAGAGGCTTTTTACAAATAAATAGGAACATAAAACAATACTAAAACTTTAATGCATACTTTAATCCTTTAAATAGTGATTGCATATAATAACATTAACAATCGTATTCGTATTTCTTAAAAAGCAAAATTCATATATCTTATAAATAAGCAAAATTATATCTTTTATAAGCAAATTTATGTATCTAATATGAGCAAAAATTTAAAAGGATTTTATGCTTCACTAAAATAATGCAATAAAAAAGGTAAATAAGGAAAATTTATATCGAAGATAACTTTGTAAGATCCTTAGTATTGTAATTTTCGCATTTATTGCCTCTCAATTCCTTGTAAAAAAATAAATGGAAACGAATACTATTTTCTGAACAAATTAGAGCTATTTACGTGTTAGGAAAATAAAATTTGCAAACATAGGTTAAAAAAAGCAACAACTCTTTAATCAGAATCTCGAACTTACCTGCAATTATGCATCCGATGTGTAGAAAGGAAAAAAAGCAGAAAATGATCTTCATCCTAAATGTTTCATTCATTAACAATTTGGATTTCTGTCGATAACATGGAGGTCTTGATATTCGGAAATAAATGCTCAAAATGGAGTGTTGTGACTAGTATCATACATTAGCGAGCAACTAGCGCCACATATCGACAAAACACTAAACTACAGAAGTAATAAGAAAAAGGATTGGTTTTTTTTTGCATACAATTTACAGATGCATACTACCAAAGAAATAAAAATAACCTAGAAGTCCCCGGACATTGTCATCTTACCATGGACAACAACTTTTGCTGATTTTTCAATAGGTTCACCGACACCGTTTTGTACTCGGCAAGTATAAGTACCGGCATCACTTATTTTCGTCTCTTTAAAAACGAGATGACCCTCCACTGAGTTGATTATCATCTTCTTTTTGTGATTATTATCTGGAAACAGAGAAAAAAACTAAACTCGTGCATTTGAGAAAGTTGAAACAGATTTTTATAGTTTCATATGCAAAGCACTCTAATTTTATCTTGTTTCACAAAATATTAACTAATGGCTCTTATACATTATATTTACATATTAATAAAATGCAACTTTAAGTGCAAAATGTACTCGTACAAACACAAAATTGATCAATTACAAACGTACTATTATAGAATATCATTAAATTTTGATATACATATGAAAATGAGCGAACTATATAAACTATTTTTTATAACTTTATGACCGTTGCTGAACAGTTAACCCAATTTTTGGGTATACGACTGCTAATGTTCAACTTCATAGCCTTGTAAATTTGAACCCAATCCAGAAGACAAGGGAACTCCGATATCAAGTATTGGGAGAAATTTGCCTTCGAGGAGGACTTTTTTTGATGGAACTAACCCGCATTTGCGTTACAGTGCGAGGAAAGCTACGAAAACCTCCCACGGTTAGCCTAATGGCAAAGGGACTCGTGATCCGTCTACAATTGAGGATGTTTTACGTCAGCACTCCTTGTTTCTTTAAATATACGAGATAATTGAAGTAAATTTTTCAAACAAATATGTCATGTTAAAGTTACAATGTGAATTATTAAAAACTTGTCACTTTTTAGCTTTTCTCTTTAAGTATATTACATCAACGTACGAATTTTTATGCATATTTAAAAAACTATTTTTTCAGTCTTACTTGTAAGTAAGGAAATAATCTTTTAGGGATAAAATTATATTCTTTGAATTAAAATGTCTAATTTGAGTTTTAGAAGATGGTGCTAATGACAAAGCAACATGAATATTCTTTTATTTCTGTTTTTATCACTCCAATGAAAGCAGTTTGAATTATAAATATACAGATATGGATATCTGCAGACAAGGATGTGTATCTTTACTACTCTGTGTCTTATCTGTAGACACAGCATGCATCTTTACGACACATCTGTAGACACAGATGTGTAGTAAAGATGCAGACTAAAAGTTAAAGTTTTACTTAAGAAACAATAAGGTAGTTAAAACGTTTCGCTTGCACTTAAATACGAATTTTTCACAAATCTAATATATAGTCATTATTTTCAGTTAATTAGTTGTAAATATCAATTTTTACGTCAATGAGAGCAAAATATAATCAAATATAAAAATTTATTTTGTAAATCGTAAGATTTCATTGACAAAAAATCCTAATTCCAAACTTGATTTTCTCATTCACAATTCCTGAATTTTCCATGGTATTATAAATTCCTCTTTATGCTTTTTTTTAATAATCTATACTTAAGTATATTTTAAGTATCTTAAAGTATCTTTTTTAAATAATATCTTAAGTAATAGTTTAAGTACTGTTGAATAGTTAGTTATACGCTAAGCATTTATTCAGAATAAGTAACGCATTTTTATAGAAATAAAATAGTTACAAAGTCACAAAAATTCGAAGTTACAAAGTAATTATTTAGATTTAATTTTTTATAATTTCTGAAATGGCTGGAATACGGTGCTTAGGTGTCGTATAATGTCATACCAATTATTGGCGACAGAGATATACGATACTTTGTATAGATAATACGATACTTTGTGGTACATAAATACAAAGCAGCACATCACATGACGGAGATGGGTTTCCCACGACACGTATGGAAATAATTTTAACACTTGTGCTGGAGTCGTGGTGGCTCAGGGGATAAGGCGTTCGCTTTCCAAAGAGGTGAACCAGGTTTGAATCCCAGCAATGGATGGTAGATACGAATTCCGCATCCGGTTTGCGCCAACCAAAATGCTGACGTAAAATATCCTCAGTGGCAGACGGATCATGGGTTAGAGCAACACCTCCTAGAAGTAGGAAGGTCTCAGCGCGGATCAATTTAGTAGTCCGATGTGACGAAGCTAACTGCGCAGTAGATGAAAAATAAGAAAGATGTCATTACGTTCGGGGTACTAAGCTGCGCAGTGGTTGAAAATACGAAATATGTCATTACGTTTGGACTACTAAAGGATATTTATGGTAACCCGTGCTGAGGCCTGCTCTTTTCTAGGAGGTGTTGGTTAGAGTCCCCATTGTCGTCAAGTTAACCATGAGAGGTTTTCGTGGCTTCCTCCCGATGTAACGCAAATGAGGGTTAGTTCCATCAAAAAGTCCTCCAGGATGCCAAATTTCTCCCAATACTTGATCCAGGAGGTTCCTTGTCTTCTGGATTGGGATTAAAATTTAAAGGACACGGACGTAAACCCCAAAAAATTGGGTAGGCTACTCAACGACGGTTATAAAATAAAACACTTCTGCTGCAGATTATGCTGAAAAGTCCCGAACTCTTACTTATGAAGGTTTGTGTAATTTAATGGCTGCCAGATAGTTTTTAAATTATTACTAAAATTCAATACGCAGAAAACTTTGACGATATCGATGTTAAAAACAGTTATAATTGAAATCAAAGTACTTTGTAAAACGGGGGGCAAAACAGCGTACAAAGTAGGCGTGGGAAAAGCAGCGTACAACAACAGTTGGATAAATTTTGGTTTTCAAGTGAAAATCGGTAAAAACAACTTTCCTGATATATAGTTTAAAATTAATTTAATAGTTAGAAGAGGAGTTGAAGAATTAGAATATTTAAAATTAGTTATGATTTTCATTCGGCCATTAAAGCTTATATATTGCACAAGATGATTTTAAAAAGAGACCAAGCTGGTCGCCAAAGGAGGGTAATAACAAAAACATTTTAACTATGTTTTAAAGCAGTTTGAGTTGTATGCAAGTACTTTATTTATGTCGCACTAGAGCTGCATAATGGGCTATTGGCGACGGTCAGGGAAACATCCGTGTGCGTGATCCGAAGACATGACATCGCAATTTTGATCCTCTGTAGAGGGGATAGCTCCCCTGCTATGGTTGCCCAACGACCGGCGTGAAGTCGAGCATTTTACGGTAGAACAGTTCAACGAGGACCAACACCGCGCACGCACACTTAGTCCCTTCGTAGGATAATCAAAGTGGTCACCCACCAGCTTACTGACCATATCCAGTGATACTTCACTTCGATGTTCGACTGGAAAACCGTGTCTTTACGATCAGTTTGAGTTGTATGCTTAAGTATTAGGTATCGCATCAGTGTCAATTTCAGAGCAACTCTAGCGGCATCATTTATAGAGGCTTTTTGTAAATTTTGCAGGTTATTCTTTCTCGCGTAAATCAACTGCACAAAATTTTCTCACCAAAATATCCTTCGCAAATCAACCTTACGTGTGATTTCCATTATCAAAAAAAGTTATTAAAGAAAGTTATGGTGTAAATGAAGAGGTTTTTTTAATATGAGGATATGCGAGAGACGGCACATACCTTCAATTTTTGTCCATGTGTAGTGAGGTTGAGGAGATCCACTGGCATAACAAACTAAGTGAACCTCAGAGCCCTCAGTAACTTCAACATCGAATGGTTCTTTCAGGAAACGCAGGGGAGCTGCAGATAAATAATAAAAAACTTCATCTTATTAGAATTTGAGTAAAGTATGTATGATGAAAGAATACGTAAATCACCATTTTAAATTCTATGAGAACAATGTTTTTTTCTTTCGTTTGCTTTCTATATATCCAGAATGATGAAAAGTCATAATTAAAAACTTCATACTATGTTTTTTTACTCATGAAAATTTGCATACTAATATATATTTCGTTTGACATAAAAGCTTAGTTAATTTATTTTTTTGTTGAAATAAACTCAAATATGAGAGTTTCGCAGAAATTGCGTAAGTACAATTTCACTTATTGTTTCCATCAGTATTGCTCATTTTCTCTATTGAGAAAAATTTCAGGGTCAATTTATTAAAAAAAGTTAAATGAGGTGTTAGTTTTTAAATAAAGAGAAATGGTTGTGAATTTGCTGCTATCTGTAAAGAAAACGAATTTGAAACTATTTGGAAATCTTTCGTATCATTTTTGAAAACTCCATAATCATCTTTAAAAACAGTCCTTTACAAAGTTTTCGCAAAAGAAAAGAAAAACATCTCTCAGAAAGAGAACATAATGACATACTCCAACATCTACCACAAAGAGTATTTAAATTATATAAATCTGACTATATGTTGCACATTGAATACATAAATAACGCACCCGCATGCAAAGAGAAATTAAATTGACAAAGTCTGAAACATTTTTAAGGAATTAAAATTTTAAATATTTAATGCCAGAGGTAATAATTGCATGAATTTTTATATAAGAGTAAAATTTTAAATAACGTGTTACAAAACTAGAATATTTTGATTTCTAAAAATTGTGATCTAAAAAAAGTGACCAGAGTTAAATAATTATTATTTTATAGGTTTGGTTTTGGGTTTTTCGGAGGATTTCATTTTATTATTAAAATTTTAGGAAATGTAATACTTGATACACGGATTAAAAAATTTTATTAAATATTATTGAATGTCCAATATTATAATTACCTTAAACATGTGTATAAAAGTAGCAGTATTATTTCATATTTTAAATTGTTGGCTAAATTTTAAATATTCTCATATTTAATCGTCAATTAAGTTATAATTATACAACTAGTACAAAACTTCTATTTCATAAAAATCTCAAAATTTGGCATTTTTCAAAATATCTACTTTTTTCTTCAAAAATAAAGGAGCTCAGAAAAAACTTTCTCTGAAAAATATTTATACAGTTCCAAAACTGTTTTAATAAAAGCAGTACAATGTCTCTTAATGAAGCAAAGCAGATTTAAAATTATGCAGCTTGTCAAATATGAATTTTAATGATAGTTTATTATTATAGCAAGTTCTATATTGTAACTGTAACTCTGCCTTTTAATAATAAAAGAACCAAATACAACATAAAATCAAATGTATTTCAAACATCATGATGCAATTTTTATCTTATGAAATCCTTTTATCACTCTACCTGTACGTTCATTAAAAGATCACATTATGTCTTATAAGAAATCTACGAACAAAACATATGAGTAGGTAGGTATTTTATTTACGTCACACTAGAGCTGCACAATGAGCTATTGGCGACGGTTTGAGAAACATCCCCGAGGCAAGTGATGCTCGACTTCGGTGCTTTACTGAGAACAGTGTCCTCACTGCGAGACTAGTGTCAGTAGATTCGTTAAAGGTCATTTCAAACCGAATGCATTAAAACGAAACAAATATAAAAAGAAATAGTCAAAAAGTTACATAAAGATAATATATTGTACAAATAATGCAATACCTTCAACAACAAGAGTTGCTAAAGCAGTGTCATTTCCAAATGAGTTTTTAGCAATGCACGAATAATTTCCAGTATCATCCAAGCTGACTTGCTCTATGGTGAGAATGCTGGCATCATTCAAGCTTGAAATTTTAAAGGTGGAAAAATCAGAAATAATTTCCTTGTGATTTTTAAACCATGAAAACTTTATAGGAGTTGCACCACCGCTCAATAAACAGGCAACTGAAGCTTTACCTCCGACATAAATCATCGGAGCAAAATTCATAGGTATTAGTTTTGGAGGTTCTAAAATAAAATAATGAAATAATTTTTTTTGTTGATAAAATTAAATATATTTCATTATATTCAAACATTCATTAAAATAACTATAATGTAATTTTATTAAGATACTCATAGATCTACTCTTTCAAATGGTATGACCTGTTATAATTTTCTAGATTTAAACATATACGTAAAATAATTAATAAATCATGTTAGATTTAATAAATTAGTTTAGCAAATTATCTATTTAAATACTAAAAATTCTAATATAGTAATATCATATCGCTGCAGTTGTACTATCATTAGAGTTATACTATCATTCTCTTTCTAAGAAAGCACTCGATAAAATTACATTCCATAAAATGAACAATGCTACTTACAATAACTAGTAAAAAAACTCAAAAATCTCTTTTCTAAAGGAGATATTGCTTTTAAAATTGGCAAAGTGGTTGACATCTATTTTACTTATAAAATGAATTCGTTATGCATACAACATAAAAAGTAAATGTAGGCTTAAGTACTTACCTTTACAATTTGCTGCTCTGCAAGCGAGAACCAAGAAAAAACAAACACTGCACAAGTATTTTTGCTTCATCGTAAAAAATCATCTGTCTTATCACATTCAACTGTAGAAGTACTTCAAGAATTGCTACAGATATCCTAATTCAAGAATCTTTTGAATTAATACACCTTTGTTGAAATCAGAATGACTAGATGTGACAGCAAAACAGATAACTAGCGCCACATAACGGATAATAAATAAACTAAAGGATAAAATTATACCTATCAAAATATGTGAGCATAAAACAAGATAATTGGAGTAGGCTTATGTTCAGCGTAATGAACTTTCCATGCTAAAAACTGTTCGCAGGTATGCATTAGCATTGAATTTTTAAAGAGCGCCTTTTTCGTATATGTTACCATATTTCATACTCTAAATAAAGTAATCAAACGGTGTAAAGAAACAAAATTAGCACTCATACAGTATTTATACATACAAAATCACTTATAAAAATAAGTGTACAACTGTTCAAAATAGTGCGTTGAGTTTTTTTTTATCATCAAATAGCGCAAAATATCGGCAATATAAACTAAAATCTTCCACAATCAATCAACAGGACGGAGAAAATACAATATTTTGAAGTACATAAAAGTTATTGAGAGGAGTTGAAGTACATAAAAGTTATTTTTTATAGTATTTTTTATAGTAAATTTTTATAAATTTAAATATACACAAATATTCATTTATGCCGAGATTATTATATACATATATAAAACATGTGTTGACATTTCAATATTGCATTAGAAGAGATAAATAGATCAGCTCTTGCACCCTATTTATGAAAATGAACGAAGAATGCATACAACAGCATTTGGAGAAGAAATGTTGAAAATATTCGTGTTCAGTATTTCCGCGAAAACTATACAAATTATTTAAAAAAAAGAATGTTTATTATATTATTTATGAATGTAAGAGAATATAAATAACATCTTTATTGATTTAAGGTCTTTCTCGCATCATCTTACCGTGGACAACAACTTTTACTGATTTTTCAAGAGGTTCACCGACGCCGTTTTGTACTCGGCAAGTATAAGTACCGGCATCACTTATTTTCGTCTCTCTGAAAACGAGATCACCATCTACAGAGTTGATTATAATCGTCTTCTCGTGATTATAATCTGGAAAGAAAATGGTGTATTATGAATATCATCAATTAGAAGAAAAAAATAGTCAAACATAAATTTTTTTGTTCAATTTTCTAAGGTAAATAGGTAGGTACTTCATTTATATCACTCTAGAGCGAGCAGCACAATGGGTTATTGGCGACGGTCTGGGAAACATCCCTGACTTATTATAGTATATATAGTAAACTTATTATAGTAAAACAACTTACTAAATCAAAACTTAAGGTGGATGAGCCAAAGGTGGCCATAGCTAAGCTTTGAGGATTTTTCCTAATTTTCTGGTTTAGTCTGGTAATAAATATCACGTATACTTTTAAATGTAAAATAAAATTTCAGTTATATAATAGTACATTTTCAAAATGGTAGCTTTTGCTCCTAAAGTGATCCACAAGTTCTAAAGGTGGCCCATAAATTGAAATCCCTTTTTCACGTGCTCAAATCACCTTTAAAAAAGACCATTAGACTGACAAACGTCTTTTAAAAAGGCACTTTGCTGGTGGGGACAAGTTTCCCGACTTAAGAAAAGATATTTTCTTTTAGTGTGTATAATTTTTTTATATATCATCTGCATTGATAGTTCTTGTGTGACACACTAGCTATTCTTTTGAGTTAACTCATTAGAATAAATCAAGAATTACTGATTTAATTCTTTCTAAAGAATTAACGAACCATAACCAGTAGGTAAGAGTTAACTAACCAAACCCATAACTATTATAAAAATACCCAAATTTACAAGAAAATACCAGAATCTACCACATAAAACCACATAAGTACCACAAAAATGTAAAAAAATACTCTAAAATGCCAACCAAACAAAATTTTAAATTTTCCCTGCTTAATTCGCTTCATTTTTTCACTGCCCGCTTGGTAAAATGGCAGATGTGATTTCTCGCTGACGTTGGCTCGCTTTTACTTTTACTTCGGCAGATAGTTAAAAATAATTTAAAAACTGAATTTAAAATACTCAATATACATCATTGTTGTATACATTTTATTACAACCGGGAGGCGCGATGAAAATTATGATTGAAAACTAGGCCGTGAACATTGAAAGGTTGAGAAACGCTGTTCTAAGATAAACCAAAAATGAATTAATTTGGTTCGTCAATTTCCCTTGCATGTGTTATTTTCTGTTATAGTTTTTGTTTAAAAAAATCGTAACGGAACTCGAAAATATAGTTTAAAGTCTTTTATATGTTAATCTCAACAGTGGTTAATTTTCTTTGTCGCGGATATAATCTGCATGTTTGTTTCTCACCTTAAAAATTTTCGCGAATTCCTGAGATTTCCTTTATGTTTCGAGTCAAGATTTTCAAGTGTAGATCTTATCATATGTGTTATCAATAAATTATTCTCGAACTGATAAGTAAATGCTTCAATTCCATCTCTACATTTTTCAACACACCTGCATAATTTCAAGTTTAGAAGTTTTAGAGTTTTAGCGCACCAACACAAAATGTAACGTAAGGTTGAAATCTTCTGGATCAGGTATTGGGAGACAGTTTGCATTCGTGGAGGACTTTTTGTTGGCACTAACCCGCATCTGCGTTACACGGAGAGGAAAATCTCTCACGGTTAGCCTGACTCCAATGGGACTCGAACCCATGATCCGTCTACCTATGAGGATATTTTACGTCAGCACATGCTATGTGAGAGTGAGCACATACCTTCAATTTTTGTCCATGTGTAGTGAGGTTGAGGAGATCCACTTACAACACAAACTAAGTGAGCCTCAGAGCCCTCAGCAACTTCAACATCGAAAGGTTCTTTTAACCAACGCAAGGGTGCTGAAAATGGAATTAAAAAAAACACGAATTGTCGCAATTAAGCTTATTAAAATAAATAATTCTTTAACCAATACAAAATTTATATTAATCATGTTAAGCAAAGCGATGTAAAATTATAAAAACATTCCTTATTTTTCAAATAAGCTAGTGTGAAAATTCTAGTGAATTTACGTAATTGCAATTGCTATAATGTTTAAAGCAAAACTCATTTTTACTGCTGAGGAAAATTTTTCAGTCAATTTATAAAAAAAAAATATAATAAAAGTTTAAAAGATAATTAAGGTGTTTGCTTTTAAATAAAACAAACTGCTCTCCAAAAACATTTAAGTTATTTGGTACAAAATTTTAGTACACTAAATTTTTAATGCTTTATAATCATTATCTTTTAAAACAGTTTTTTAATGCAGTAAAGGAAATAAACTCTGTTTTCATAGATGCAAAATAGTGACGCACACTTATATTTACGACAATTTCTAAATGAATGTACGACATTAAATAATATTTCTACAAATAAATTAATTATATCTGCATCACTTTTTCAAAATCAAAATTGCAAATATTTAAAGATCAATTATTTAACTGTGTGCATTATTATCTAAAAACTGCAAATGAAACTTCTTAATTAATAATTAGCATTTTATTAAAATTTATTAAAATCACGCATTATATTAAGTTTACAGGACAAACATGTTAGTAATAATCTATAAAAATTTTGATGTTTTAAAGGATACAATAGCTTCGACGACTGAAGTGTTGGCTATATTCAAACCTGGTATTTAAGTCTGATAAAATATAAATTCCTGATTTACTCACACTACAAAAAAATATCCACAGAGATCGTGAAAGTTGGGATAAAATCTTACAAAATTAAAAAACTTTCATTTTATTGCCTTTACAACACGATAAAACTGATTTAGTAAAGATAAAGTAGGAAATAAAACTTATGCTATAATAATAATTTAAGTGAAATATAAAGTTAAACATAAACTTTAATGCCCGCATCATTCTTCTTATTATAATAAATTCTAGATTTCAACAGCTATGATACTGTTTGGAGGAATAAAAATTTAATGAATTCAGCAAAAAAAATTACAAACATACGCTTTTGAATCTTTAAGCTTTCTCTATTTATATATATCATACAGATCTTTGATAATCCTTTCTATAAGTTCATTAAGGTTTAAAATTTTTCCAGTTTCTTTTTTCATAAAAAATAAACATTCAATATTTCATAAGTACTTAACAAAAGACTACATGTAATAAATAATGCAATACCTTCGACAACCAGAGTTGCTGATGCAGTATCATTTCCAAATGAATTTCTAGCAGTGCACGAGTAATTTCCGGCATCATCCAAGCTGACTGGCTCTATGGTGAGAATGCTGGCGTCTTTCAGATTTGAAACTTCAATCTTGGAAGAATCGTGAATAACATCTTTGTGGTTTTTAAACCATGAAAACTTTATTGGAGTTGTACCGCCACTTACTAAACAGGGAACAGACGCTTTACCACCCACATAAATCATTTGAGCAAAATTCATTGGGATTATTTTTGGAGGTTCTAAAATAGAAACAATTAATAAATTGTAAGTTTCTATCTTTGGGAAAATTTAAATACTCATAACATAATATTTCAGAAATGCATTAGATTGAAATTTAAAAAAAAATCTATTAACGTTGCTGATATATTTTCCTCTGAATGCATGTCTAGATTTTTTAAAAATCTATGAATGAATCACATCCTCTGCATAAAGTAGTTTAGAAACTGATTTTAAATAAAAGAACATAAAATTCTGGAATTTTATCACATACTGTTATCATTATACTGTTATTTACAATCCAATCCAATATTATAATCTACAAAATAAACAATGCCTTTTACTTCAAATTACAAATGCTAATTAAATTAATTATGGAAATGACAAAAGCATCTACTTTTAAAATAATATATTGTTTTAAAAAAATTTTAAAACAGTTGACATTATATTTTACTTATAAAATGAATTCGTTATGCATGCGGCACAAAAAAGTAAATGTAGGCTTAAGAACTTACCTTTACAGTTTACTGCTCTGCAAACAAAAACCAAGAAAAAACAAACACTGCACAAGTATTTCTGCTTCATCATAAAAAATCGTCTGTCTTATCACATTCAACTGTAGAAGTACTTCAAGAATTGCTACAGATATCCTAATTCAAGAATCTTTTGAATTAATACACCTTTGTTGAAATCAGAATGACTAGATGTGACAGCAAAACAGATAACTAGCGCCACATAACGGATAATAAATAAACTAAAGGATAAAATTATACCTATCAAAATATGTGAGCATAAAGCAAGATAATTTGAGTAGTTTATGTTCAGCGTAATGAACTTTCCATGCTAAAAACTGTTCGCAGGTACAACTGTTCAAAATAGTGAGCTGAGTTTTTTTTATTTATATCATCAAATAGCGCAAAATATCGGCAATATAAATTAAAAACTTCCACAATCAATCAACAGGACGGAGAAAACACAATATTTTGAAGTACATAAAAGTTATTGAGAGGAGTTGAAGTACATAAAAGTTATTTTTTATAGTATTTTTTATAGTAAATTTTTATAAATTTAAATATACACAAATATTCATTTATGCCGAGATTATTATATACATATATAAAACATGTGTTGACATTTCAATATTGCATTAGAAGAGATAAATAGATCAGCTCTTGCACCCTATTTATGAAAATGAACGAAGAATGCATACAACAGCATTTGGAGAAGAAATGTTGAAAATATTCGTGTTCAGTATTTCCGCGAAAACTATACAAATTATTTAAAAAAAAGAATGTTTATTATATTATTTATGAATGTAAGAGAATATAAATAACATCTTTATTGATTTAAGGTCTTTCTCGCATCATCTTACCGTGGACAACAACTTTTACTGATTTTTCAAGAGGTTCACCGACGCCGTTTTGTACTCGGCAAGTATAAGTACCGGCATCACTTATTTTCGTCTCTCTAAAAACGAGATCACCATCTACAATCATCTTCTTCTCGTGATTATAATCTGGAAAAAAATGGTGTATTATGAATATCATTAATTAGAAGAAAAAAATAGAGTCAAACATAAACTTTTTTTTGTTAAATTCTCTAAGGTAAGTAGGTAGGTTTTCTCATTTACGTCACTCTAGAGCAGCATAATGGGCTATTGGCAACACCCCTAATAATGATCCGAAGACATGCCATCGCAATTTTAATCCTCTGTATGGCTTCCATGCTTTGGTAGTCCGGCGACCAGCCCGTGAAGTCGAGCACTTTGCGGAACAACAGTTTAACGAGGAAAATATACCGCGCACCCTTGGTACATACGCAGCCTGATGAAAGTGGCCATCCATTACTGACAACAGCCAGTGGTGCTTGACTTCGGTGCTTCTACTGTGAACCTTTTTTTTTCTCACTGTGGGACTGAATTCTCTAAGATAAATGAATTAATTTGGTCCCCTCGTATCTGTTATTTTCTGTTCTGTGTTATTTAAAAAAAATCTTACCGGAACTCGAAAATAAAGTCTTTTATATGTTAATCTCAACAGTGGTTAATTGTCTCGGATCTAATCTGCATGTTTGTTTCACACCATTTTCGCGAATTCTTGAGATTTCCTTTATGTCAAGATTTTCAAGTCTTATCATATCAATAAATTATTCTGATAATCAAATGCTTTGATTCCATCTCTACATTTTTCCTGCATAATTTCAAGTTTAGAAGTTTTAGCACAAAAAAACATAACATAAGGTTGAAATCCCAAAACAGCGAAAAAACAACAGCTTGAATTTCTAAGATAAGAGTCCTCGCCTCTGCTACTATGTTTCTGTTCTGTTTTTATCTCATCCCTACCAGTCATATGCTTACAAGGCTTTCTTCACCACGTAAATCAACTTATTGCCACAATTATCTTGCCACAAATTCTTGCACATGATCTTGGACAAAAATTTCTTTGCCACAGAAATTCCCACGAATTAATCCTATACAAATGTTTTTCGAGTTAAGCTTAAAATGAGAAAGTTACAGTATTTTATTTTTATTTTATAAGTCTAAATTAATTTTTATGATTATCATCCTTTCATAAGCCTTTCATAACCATCGCTGCACAGCGGACCCAATTTTTCAGGTTTGCGACTACCAATGTTCAAATCCGTATCCTTGTAGTTTTTAACCCAATCCAGAAGACAAGGGAACTTCTGGATCAAGTAATGAGAGACAGTTTGCCTTCGTGGAGGACTTTTTGTTGGAACTAACCAACATTTGCGTTACACGGAGAGGAAAACGGTTAGCCTGAAGGCAAGGGGACTCGAACCCATGATCCGTCTACCTATAAGGATATTTTACGTCAGCACTGGTCGGTGCGAGCCTGATACGGAATTTATATCTACCAGAAAGTTACAGTATATAAGTAATGGTATGTAGGTATATTATTAAACAATGCTATGTGAGAGGTGGCCACATACCTTCTATTTTTGTCCATGTGTAGTGAGGTTGAGGAGATCCACTGGCAACACAAACTAAGTGAGCCTCAGAGCCCTCAGTAACTTCAACATCGAAAGGCTCTTTTAACCAACGCAGGGGTGCTGAAAATGGAATTGAAAAAGAACACGAAAAGTCGCAAGTAAGCTTATTAAAACCAATACAAAATTTATGTTAATTATGTTAAGCAAAGCGATGTAAAAGCATAAAAACATACCTTAGTTTTTAAATAAGCTAGTTAGAAAATTCTAGTCAATTTACATAATTGAAATTGCTACAAATTTTAAAGCAAAACTCACTTTTACTATCGAGGAAAATTTTTCAAGAAATTTACAAAAAAGTAAATAAATAAATAAATAAATAAATAAAAGAAAAATATAAATAAATAAAAGTTTAAAAGATAATAAAGGTGCTACCTTTTAAATAAAAGAAACTGCTCGCCAAAAAAATTCTCATTATTTGAAACAAAATATTAGTACAGTCCGCGAAAAAAAAAATATATATCACCCTGAATAACTTTCGTTCTAATGATCGGATTTTCACGAACTAAGTGTCAATCTTAATGGTTCCGGGGGGTGACCTCAAGTATGCTAATTAATTAGTGTTAACTATTAATTAAGTTAAGAAATCAGACACAAAAGCGTACTTTCTNGGGCTTGTGCCCGACGAAATGTCAGTTGTTGTTATTATTATTATATTTCTAATACATAAACGTCTCGATTGGAGTGTCATTTCAATTGAAAAAATATAATTAGGTGGCCTAAAAAGAACATAAGAAAGAATGTTTCAGAGCAGTTTACTCCTGGCGAGGGATGTTACCTCAAACTTTGTTTTTGTTTAGACAAAGAAGAGAGGGGAAAAAAAACTCAAAAAATAATTACATCCGGAAGCGATCATAATTTGCTTTTAAAATCTACTAATATGTGAAGAAAGAAAATAATTACAATCTGTAATTTTTAATTTGTGAAAACAGCCGTGCATCAATTTTGATTTTTCTTAACAGTAGAATGGTGAATGGCCCAGTTAATTTTTATAATTCTCTTTTTCCGTGCCCCCTGATACAGTGTAGCAGTTTCCGCAGTATAGTGCAATGCTGGAATTTATTGCTTTTTATTAAAGAAATCTCACTTTAAAATGTCAAAAAACAATTCATGCTTCACTATGTAGTGTAATTTTAAGACAGAATTTATTAGAATAAGGGTGGTAATTTACATAATATTATAAAACATTAAAAATTAACACTTTATTCAAAACATTCGTAACGTAGTAGTAAATGCTTGAACAAAATGGTGCAGCTTTTTCACCTGCCTTACACCAGCCTGGTTATAATTACAAACCATCTGCTACTCAAAAATCATCTGCTCTTGAGCTTTCGTGTATAAAAAAAGTTAGTTTTTTCTTTTCACTTTTGAGATTAAAGGAATATTTTTGTGCGCTTCAAATATAACACAGATCTTATTCGGAACAGATTTATAAGAAAAATACATGTGATTTTTGAAAATACAATTAACTTATAAAGTAATATTATTTAAAAAATTACACTTAAAAAAATGGACAAAATTTGAACAAAATAAGGATTGTGGACAAATTTTTAATGTTATTTTTTTTAATTTGATTTATGAACTCAAAAAGTAAATGTTCAGCATTTTGAGCATTACACTCACGCACAACACTACGTTTTGAAATTTAAAATCACACAAGTCTCAGAAAATGCAATCCAAATTTTTTTAAAAGGGATTTAAAAACTCAATATTGTGCAAAAATTTGAAGAAATATGCAGAAGAAAAGTTTATTGCTGAATTTCTGTCAGACGGAAGAAGAAAAAAAAATTTTTTTTTTCGAACGAGATTTTGGAGTAGCTTTTAATTTATTATTAGTCGAAGGATTTTAGTAGTTTCATAACATTACAAACCATTTCTGAAGTCAATTCGATATATTTCCCAAATACAAGAACACTCAATGAACATGGGAGAAAACATCAATACTATTATTTTTAAAATCAATTTAAATGATTTGTGATTCAAGTCTAATTTTATCTATTAAAGATAACTTATACCAGCCTAGTGTTATTAATAATGTAGCAAAAAATAGTGAGCAATGTTATGTGTGATAACCTAATGCAGCGGTGTCTAACTTGTTTTAGCTATAAAATCCTAATTGCTCGAATTTCTTGACGGAACCCTGGCTTATTTAAAATTAAGTATGTAAAGAAAATTGTTAAAGTATTATCCAATGAAAGACTGCTTTATTTTGAAATTACTAATTTAATAAGATGAGTCGTTATGTCTTAAGGGATAGAGCGCATGCTTCTTAGTGAGGTGACCTGTATTCGAATCCCTGCGGTGACTAGTTAATACTAATTCCGCACCTGGCTCTCACCGACCACAGAGCTGACGTAAAATATCCTTAGTGGTAGACTGATGATGGGTTACAATTCCCCTGCGGTCAACCTAACCGTGGAAGCTTTTCGTGGTTTTCTTCCCCGTGTAAAGCAAATGCGGGTAACTTCCTTCAAAAAGTCATAAGTCATTCGCGAAGGCAAAATTTCTCCCAATGATCCAGTAGTTCCCTTGTCTTCTAAATTGGGTTCAAAATTACGAGGTTACGGAGTTGAAACATAGGTAGTTGTAAACTCAGAATATAGTCGGCTGTTCAACGCCGGTTATAAAATAAAATGACTTCTAAAGATAAATAAAAAAAATTCTTTTTATCATTAATAAACTCAGTTTTATGTTCAACAGTTAAATTCCTAGTCCTGGAGCTGAAACTAGTATAATTGAATTTCTTTTTCAGTGTATATACATAGGCTGAAGATAAGTAAAACAAGCCGGATTTTCTTTAAATAAAAATTAAAAAGAACTTCTATAAACGTAGAAATTGGTTATTACGGAAACAAATTTCTTTATTGACGTATTCAGATATTTTATTCTGATTTAAAAATCGTGGTGGGTAAATACCAATAACACTTTTCACCATTTATTCAATACAACGTTACTAGAAAAATTATATTTAAAAAGAAATTGCCATCTATTTTTCATTCGCATTTTTCTTAAAATAATTTCATACAGACAACTGAAATGTTAAATTAATAATGGATCACTAGAATTTCATCGAAATTTAATTTCAGTATATATTATGCCAAATAAAAGTAATGAATAACAATAAATCAACTAAAATCAAAATGAATGTATTATTCAATAACACATCTTCCAAACAATTAAAAGTATAATTCAATAATTATCAATATAATAATTAAAAAAAAATTATAAAATTTTTTATTCACTATCTTATGTTTCTCCAATTTTCAAACAAAGCAATAGGGGGAAATTTTAGTTTAAAAGTAATAACTTTCAAACCAAATTTGCTGGATGTGATTAAATTTAGATCCAGTTCTTTACTAAATTAATCCCATTTGTAAACTTTAATTATGCTAATTTTCAAAGAAATAGAAACTATATCTACAATTCACTGTATCTACAATTTGAATTAAAATATTATAAATATGTTTTACTATCCTTGGCTTTTCTGGTTGAGTGCACCTCATCTTTTAACACAATATAATTAAAAAAAATGCTCATTTGACTAGGCGTGAATCATTAAATAAAATATAGGAGAGTGTATTATTACGTAATGAAACCAACATAAATTACACTCAATTTCCCTTGAGATACTCTATGGTGTTGTAATCGCAGGTTATGTGGTGACTATGTGAAAAAAAAATGTAGAACAAACCATGACATAATTTTAACGAATCAGTTAAATTCTCATCACTCGATGACCGTGTAGATAACCGGATGGTGTAAGAATCCATTGTTCTCACTTATGAGCTGAGTTGTTTTATTCTCACTGAAAAAAAATCGTTTTCTTTTCAAGAGGTGTAAAACAATGAATTCTTTTTGGGTGGCATTGAAATTATTCACCAACGCTTTTGCATTCTAATCGGTGTTTCACCTTTTATACGTTTTTCAATAGCAAGAAGAATGGGAAAAGAAGGAGAGTCAAGGTTAATTTAAACCATAATAAACTAATACGATTACGAGTAAATAATTTTTTAAGCTACTTACCACTAGTTTACTAACCCTTAAATTAGAATATTGGTATGGAATATCAAAAAATAACAAACTTAAAAAAAATCATTCTAGCTTTAAGAATCGCCGATTATTATCAACTAAAATAAGGCTTAAGTTTTTGAATGACGCAGTCTTAAAGATTTTTGATTATTGAGTGGCATTTTTTTTAAATTCAATATTATTTGTATATCAATTTATCAATCAATAATTGAAAATGTGATTAAAGAAATAATAATTTTGTTAAGTAAAAATTACTGTTAAATATGCTCAAATATAAATGTAGTTGAATCTAAATTTATACTGAAATTTTCGTTTTAAACGACCATGCAAAATAAAGCTTAATATTATTTCCAAGTAATTTTCTTTTTAACAAAGATGATTGTGCTCCCGAAAAAATCCGGATTTCCAGATTTTTCAGTAAAACGCGATCCGGAAGTTTCCGGAAATCCGAGGACCACAAAAATTTCAAGAAATTATTTATCACATTTATGCATTAAAAAAATATATTATGTTTCATTTAGAAATATTAGAACTCGAATTTATACTTGGCATCTCTTTCATTTGTAAATATTTTTTCTAGTTGAATAATAAATGTGATTAGAGATAAAAGTAAACTTATGCATTATTATTCATTTAAATTATGCTGCATATAATTTATTTAAAATTTCATGTTTTGAAAATATCAATGATTTAAATTTATAAAGACGTCAATCTTTNATGAATTCTTTTTGGGTGGCATTGAAATTATTCACCAACGCTTTTGCATTCTAATCGGTGTTTCACCTTTTATACGTTTTTCAATAGCAAGAAGAATGGGAAAAGGAGGAGAGTCAAGGTTAATTTAAACCATTATCGGAATAAACTAATACGATACTGAGTAAATATTCTTTAAGCTACGTGCCACTAGTTTACTAACCCTTAAATTAGAATATTGATATGGAATATCAAAAAATAAAAAATATAAAAAAATCATTCTAGCTTTAAGAATCGCCGATTATTATCAACTAAAATAAGGCTTAAGTTTTTGAATGATTCAGCCTTAAAAATTTTTGATTATAGTGTCGAATTTTTTTGAATTCAATATTATTTTTATATCAATTTATCAATCAATAATTGAAAATGCGATTAAAGAAATAATAATTTTGTTATGTAAATTGTTGTTGTTGTAGTTCATTTACGTCGCACTAGATTGCACAATAGGCTATTGGCGACGGTTTGGGAAACATCCCTGAGGATGATCCGAATACATGCCATCACAATTTTGATACTCTGCAGAGGGGATGGCACCCCGCTTCGGTAGCCCGACGACTGCACGCGAAGTCGAGCACTTTACGGTAAAACAGTTTAACGAGGACCAATACAGCACACCCTCGGTCCCTAAGCAGTCTGATCCAAGTGGTCACCCACCCTCACACTGACCGCAGCCAGTGATGCTTGATTTCGATGATCTGCTGCTGTTATGTAAAAAGTACTGTTAAATATATTCAAATATAAATGTAGTTCAATCTAAATTTATACTAAAATTTGTGTTTTAAACGTAAACCATGCAAAACAAAGTTTAATACGGCGTGCTACAATTAATTTATTTTAAAATATTCTTTCCAAGTAATTTTCATTTTAAAACCTTTATGATAGGTAAAAAATTTTTAATATTTATTACATACTTTTATTTATATTTATTGTATCTACTTTTTAATTTAACATTTAATGCTGAATGTCGGTGCGTAATGATATTATTAACAGAATAATAACTGAATTTCAGTCATTCAGAAAAGCAACAACGTAAATGGTGAAATTTATAGGAAGAAGCTGACAATTACACCTAAGTTTCGGACTTATAATGGTAACAAATATAAGCATAGGACGATACCCTTGTGCATCAAATATGTTAAATATGAGATGGATTCTATTCAGAACAAAGTAAGCTTACTTCTAAGTTCACACAACTTGCAAAAAAAAAAATCATATTTTAACTTAATATTCTTATTGCTTTCTATGTCCAACTATCCGAAGCATTGAAGGACCTCCAATTTTCGAATTTGAAAGAAAACTCTTTCTCTTTACAACTAAATTAGCTTCAAAAAGAGGCTTGAAAATTATTGAATACGCATCATCTAACAGAGTAATAACAGATAAAGTCTTCAAAAAAAGGTATGGAGCAACTTAAAAACGAGGTTCTTTAACCATCTTCAGGCTTCATCGCCGGAACGGAATTTCGGGATAAATTATCGGTCCTTCCGATACACTTTCATGGTTTTGATATTTGATAAGGGTCTTTTACTCGGGGTATTTCTTTCGTATGTCAAAAAAGAAAAGGAAAAAAGTTTTCACAAGTGAATCGCATTTTTAAACAGGAAAGATTTTTGAAAAGTTATTGTATGCAAACGATTTCTTTGTCAATAGAGAAGCACTGTTTTAAAACTACATAATTTATTACAATATTAGTAAAAAGTATTTTAATTAAATTTAGTTCGAGAAAAGTAAATCAAGAATTTCATAAATTTCATTATTTAAAAATAAGCAATATTATATTTATCCAAAAGCGTAGCATTTCTCCAGTTTGATTTCATAAAGTTCCAGCAAATTCTTTTATTAAAACTTTTTATTTTTTTTAAACGTTAGGGATATGTTACTGAGACGATTGTTTTTTTATTATTTTGTATTCGCAAAAAGTTGTGTTGAAAACATTATTAAATTTGCAAATTTCAAAATTTCTAAAATTGTGTTTTCATTTAATGCAATTGCTATTCTCATAATTTTATGATATTAAAAAATAAATGATGATGAATGAATAACTGAAAATGAAGCTTTTTTTTCATGTGACGTCATTGTAGCAAGCGTTTATTTACAACCTTGGTTTCAATTATTTACCATCTCAAATCAAAGGAAATTAAATAATTAAATAAGAAACATTTCAATTTACACGCAAATTCTCAACACGCTCTTGTTTTCAAGATAAACATTAAAAAATATTTTCATTAAAAATTTTACAATTGTTTCGTAACGCAATACAATTTCGTGTACAAATGTTTGGTAGTGTAATTTGCAGTAGTGTGATTTGTTGTTATTTAACTAGAATTTAAAAAAAAATGAAAAAATGTCAAAACAAAGATATATATATACATATATAATATTAAAAATTGTAAAAGTTTTATTCTATACTTTTTCAATAAGTGTTATTAATTTCTCAAAAAATCATCAAAATTAAAATTCCACCTTAATATTTATAGACTTTGAATTATCCATCATAATATTATTGCCTTGCACACATCCAGTTCCGGGCCAATCCAAGGTAGCTAACAATTCAAATACTCTTCTGTACTTCAGTAAGAACGCACCATAAAAGGTATCCCACTATCCTCTATATACGCTTTAATTTTCATATCTTATAATCTGGCAAACTTGTTAAGAAAAACATTATAAATTATTTTCGAAAAATGCAGGTTGGTGGAAGTACATTTGAATTTGCTACTTGCTTTATATGTTACATTTTTTGTTTTATTCTGTATTTTTCTAGAATTTTCATTTTCTATTTTTTGCTTGATATATAATATTTTGTATTTTTCTTAATATATTCCATTTTCGTTTCAATTTTTTTAGTGCTCCTCATACTAATGTATTGATATATTTCTCTTTAGCTATAATGATGCAATATTAGAAAGCACTCTTTTCTGCTGATATAACCGTGTGAGTTATGATCAAATTATATCTCTTCCGTATTTTGCTTTCCAGCTTTTAAAAACATTTTATTTTTTTATAATTTTTCTTCTTCCCTTTAAAATTATATCTACTTTTTTCATGCTTTCTTTATTTCTAAAACGTTTTTAAAATCATTTCTTAATGAGAAACAGCGGCAAACGATAAATAGTTTTGATCAAAAATATTGTCCCATGATGACATAAGTCCTTCAGAGTCCACTTCCTTCAGAACAGTGTAACAAAAGGATAATTCCCTTTAAACGTATGCTTTTTATCAAAGCGGAATCTTCTAAATCTCAATAGAATTTCACAGGAGAAGAATAAAAGAAAGAAGCTTTAACATTCACAGACAGGAATGATAAGAGATATATTGTACAAATCCAACCTACGCTTTGATGAGCCTACGCGTGAGAAGTTCAGTGCACTAACCTACCTCGTCCTTCTACAAGCTTTAGTACATATTCTACCCTATTATCTTTCATTTCTTCGCAGTAATGCTTTTTTATTCGAGACACAAATTTTGTAACACAATTACGGATTTTGCCTTTTTAGTTTTCTCGTGAGAATTCTGAAATTGGAATATTAAACACTTAATTGATAATTTTAATATTCTAAATTTATTTATAACTATCTGTTAACTTTCATTGTTTCGTTGTAAATTTATTTTACTTTTCATTTAGTTCTTTCATTTTTTGTATTGAAAAAAAAAAGAATTTTTACCTTTAAGCAGCTTAAAACATACAACGGAAATTTTTAGTATTTTTTAAATACTAATTTATTTAATTTTAAATTGGAAAAACAATAAATGTGGATTTTTTTTCTTAGTTGATATAAAAAATAATTTTTTTTATTTCGATTTAAAGTTGAAACTTACTTCTTAAAAAATTGTATAAAAATTTTAAGCATAAGTAAATTTAATTGATCATTTCTTAAATAATAAGATTTAAAAGTGAAAGGTTTCATTTCTCTCATTCTACCAAACTTTCCATTATACAATTTAATTTGTAAATTCCATTTTTCTATTCCATTTAATAAAAAAAAAA